ACCCACCACCAAGACTGCGCAACAAACCACACTGCTCACCAATGGGGATGTCACTCTGTGGCACCAGACTATGTGACTGGACCCAAGGTTTTTGCTAACCACTCTCCTCTCCAAACACACAGCTATTACACTATGCATCTGCAACCAAAAGAATGGAAAACACACATGGAGAGTATCCACCACAAACGTTGCAAAGGAATGCCATACCCTGTAGAAACTCTCATAAAACGCCTAAAAATACTCCTGGAAGCCAGCACACCACTCACCACATGGATCAGTGCAAAAAAAAATCTTAATATTATATTTAACCTCGTGAACTAGAAGAGGCACTAAGATGGCCAGAACCATAGCTTTCATTATAAAGAATGCTTCTAGCTGCTCCAAGGGGCGGCACCTCCCTCCCAGGAGGTTTTGTGGAGACGCGACAAAGTTTTATGCACACTGACAAGCCAATTAAGGCACGTCGCTGGACTCAGAGGACATAAAACCAGTTGGGTCACAGTTTGAATGGATGAGAACCATGCCATTCTCATTTTGAAGTGCACTGCCAAGCCCGTAGGTTGGGGGGCCTCAATTCCCAACCTGTAGGCAAGTTCCCATGCCCAGTGATCAATGAAATGGGTGCCAAGCACACTGGCAAGCCAATTAAGGCAAGTCACACCCCAGTGTGCAASGACACATGTAGTCAAAAAGAAAAAAAAATATTCAAAAAAAAAGAAAAGCCAAAAAGAAAAAGAAAAAAAAAGGAAACATCACACTTCTTTCACCAAATCACAGCTGAGCCCGCCCAAAGGAGCAGCTGCGTGAATGTCTTCTCGAAGAAGACACTGGTAATAAATCCAATAACCCTGCCACTGCTGGTCAGGAGGTCAAATACTGGGGGTGTTGCTGTTTCTGTCTACCACATAAGACAGGAACAACAACAATCGTGCTGTTGCTTTCCGGGACGGAGGTTGGAAACAACAGCAATCGTGACCGGAAAGCACGGGGGCTTCCAGTCCTTGAGAACTGGGGATGGTGGATCCAGCTGAGGCAAAGCAGCTGGAGTAACTGGGGTTGGTGTTGTTGCGTTCTGGCACAAATGTTGGAAACAACAACAATAACATTGTGACCGGAATCTTCTTCCAGTCTGTAAAATACTGGAACTGCGTGGAGATGGAGATGCTGGGGAGTCTTCGTTAAAACTGAGTATGATGTAGCATATACTCCAGACTTTGTTCTTCACTAGGTCTTGGTTGAATAGTGGGGGCTGGGGTTGGTGTTATTGCATTCCGGTACAAACATCAGAACCAACAACAATCGTGACTAGAAACCACTGGTGCTTCCGGTCCTTGAGAACTGGGGATGGATCCAGCTGAGGCAGACTGTTCTCACCTGGGGGAATTAAAACTGGGATTGGTGTTATTGTTTGCCAACATGAGTGCCGGAAAATAACACCAACATGACTGGAAAACACTGGTTCCGGTCCGTAAAATACTGGAACTGCATGGAGATGGAAATGCTGGGGAGTCTTCTTTAAAACTGAGTATGATGTAGCATATACTCTGGCATTGTTCGTCACTAGGTCTTGGTTGAATACTGGGGCTGGGGTTGTTACTGTCATTGCTCTCCAGCACAGATGCCAGAAACAACAACAATTGTGACCAGAAAACACTGAGCTTCCGGTCCTTGAGAACTGGGGATGGATCCAGCTGAGGCAATTGCACTCAACTGGGGGGATTAGGACTGGAGTTGGTGTTATTGCTTTCCAACACGAATGAGACCGGAAAACTCTTCCAGTCCGTAAATAAACTGGAATATGGTAGGAACTGCATGGAGGTGCTGGGGAATTGTCTTTAAACTGAGTATGATGTAGCATATACTCCAGGCTTTGTTCTTCACTAGGTCTTGGTTGAATACTGGGGCTGKGGTTGTTGTTCTTGCCATCTGGCACGGATGCCGGAAACAAAAACAACAACGTCAAGACCGGAATCTTCTTCCGGTCCGTAAATTACTGGAACTGCATGGAGATGCTGGGGGATCTTCTTTCAAACTGAGTATGATGTAGCATAGACTCCAGGCCTTGTTCTGCAAAGGATTGGTCTTGGTTGAATACTGGGGGCTGGGGTTGGTGTTATTGCATTCCAGTATGAATGTCGGAACCAACAACAACCTGACCGGAAAACTCTTCCGGTCCATAAAATACTGGAACTGCATGGAGATGGAGATGCTGGGGAGTATGATGTAACATAAACTCCAAGCTTTGTTCTTCAAAGGATTGGTCTTGGTTGAATACTGGGGGCTGGGGTCAGTGTTAGTGCTTGCCAACACAGATGCCGGATACAAAAACAACAACGTTGTGACCAGAGAACTCTTCCAGTCCGTAAATTACTGCTGGAACTGCATGGAGATGCTGGGGAATCTTCTGTAAAACTGAGTATGGTGTAGCATAGACTCCAGGCTTTGTTTTTCACTAGGTCTTGGTTGAATACTGGGGGCTGGGGTTGGTGTTGGTGTTATTGCATCTGGCACGGATGACGGAAACAACAACAACAATGTCGTGACCGGAATCTTCTTCCGGTCTGGAAAATACTGGAACTGCATGGAGATGCTGGGGAACCTTCTTGAAAAACTGAGTATGCATGTAGCATATACTCCAGGATTTGTCCTTCACGACGTCTTGGTTGAATACTGGGGGTTGGTGTTATTGCAATCTGGTACGAATGTCGGAAACAACAACAACTTCAACACCGGAAGATACCACTTGGTGCTTCTGGAGGAACAGGGGATGGATCCAGCTGGGGCAAACTACCACCACCAGCTGGTGGATATCAATATAATTGGAATAGGCTTGGTTGCATTGCTTGGTTGCTTGTTGAATGGAGCCAAGGAGGAAGATTCTCCCCTTTGGAAGGGGATGTCACCATGGTGGATTCTTTGGAGGAGCTTGTCAGGTAGGAATGTATGTAGGAATCAGTAGGAATTCTAGGTGATAATTTTCATTAGCGAAGTGTAATTTCATGCGTTTGAAAAAATTCAATTTGAAAATTATACCACATGGATCAGTGCATATTATACCAGTCCCACCTTGAACCCAGTCCCACTCCAAGTGTTCGATCTAAACAATGCAATACAGGATGCAGCAAGAGCCATCCAACTCCAAGACACAGGCATCACACTTGATGCCATAGGAACGCACAGCTTTTGCTCAGGCAGGGCCATGGCAATGTACCTCAACGGTGTCCCCATGACAACAAACCACAACTTTGGCCATTGGAAAAGTGACAGCTTCCTTTTTTACCTCCAAGAACAACTTGCACATTTCTCATATGACGTCTCCACACACATGGCAACTTCTGTACCATATCACAATATCCAATTTGTGAGACGTTGCTCCTGCTGCCCCACAACTTTCCAAGACTGGAAACCAAAAGAAGCACTCTCACAAGCAAAATCACCTCTGGACATCCTAACACACATACACAGCTCGCTTCTCTTGCAACCACATCTAAGACACCAGCACCATGACAGCCGGCTCAACCACAACCCCCCACATGACAGGCCCACATTGTTAATCCTTATCTTTCCTTCAAACAACCAGCCTACACAATACACCATATCATGCCTTCCAGGACCAAACAACCCAAACAGATCTCAGAATCCCCACACAGGACAATTGCAAACCAGCCAACACCCAACCCCTTTGTACCTAAATGATCTCAAACATGTTTTGCCCAGCATCAGGAGCGGTACAAAAAGCAGCAATTCTTGCCATCTTGCACTCAGCCCCAGCAAAAATCTGCCTGCACCCCATCAATGATGCCACCATCCTCCATGACATCAACTCTGTGGGCACCCTGACAGACCACTGTGACACCATCAACAGCAAACTGGAGCTCCTTTGTGCAGCCATTACAATTTCAGTGGCCCTTCACATTTTCCTTCTCCCTCGAGTCAGAGACATTATTGCCCAGGACACGCTTGCAGCAGCCTCTCCTCAGGGACACCAGCGCCCCAATGCAATGCCTTCTGCCAGCTTGGCAGCCCCAACAACCCCACCTGCCAAACACTTCTGCAGGGCTTACTTCCCCTACTTTTACAACTCAATCCAGCACAACCTCACTTCTTTCAATGAATTGACCCTTCTGGTGAACAAGTGCCTGGCCCTTGACACTTGGTGCCTTGGCAACAGCAACAAAAAACACTGCTTTCTTTGATCCAGGCCAAAACTGCCACTACAAATTTGATCACTGCCTTGCAGCCAACCCATCTGGTCTCCTACACTCCCCCAGGGATTCTGCATTTGAGGTGCGCCCCCTCCCCACCCACCTCACCTTCAGCCAAATCCTGGCACCCAACTACTTTAGCTGGTGAGGCAAAATTGGCACCATCCTTGCCAACCATCTTTCCAACCCGGTCATCATGGAGATTGCATGCCAACCAATCACCAACAACATAAACTCCAGCTTCCCTTGCAACGTCTACCACCACACTACCATGGCACTGTACTACTCCCCTTGCCACCTCCTGGTTGTAGCCTAACGCCCCCAGGAGCAGATCACAACCCAAGGTATAATCCATTATGCCTATCACATTGGTTATATCCTTGAATACCACCTCATGTCCCTGGCAGACAACCCAACAGAGGTCATGCAGAGCAAACTTAGCAGCAAACTATTCCCTGGTGTTTGGCACAATGGCCACCAACCAAGCCACTTTGAGCACCACAAGCATCTCTGTATCATCCTTGCCACCTATGAGATCTGCCGCACCCCACCCACAGTGCCCGGCAACTCTAAAAGCAACAACAGCTCCAGTGGCACTGATGACAGGAACTAGAACTGACACCCCGCATTCCCCAGTACCACTGGAACACAATGGGCCTACCACCAAAAAAGTAGGTGTTTCAATGGAGGCAAACCAGTTGCAAAACTGTAATAGGTCAAGAGAATCAATGTGCCAACCTGTAAACCCCAGACCATTACACATTTTACACCTAGATCTAATCATATTAGTCAAATCCTCATTTTGGCAAACACTCAGAAAGTTTGAATAGTTGACCACTTTGATCCTTACAATCTCAGACCACAAAGGTATGAACATACAGCACCACAGTGCCAAGAGGCCCAGAATGTCATGTGGCACCAGAGCAACAAACCATGAGAATTGCCCTATTTCAAGGACTTCCACTCACTCATTTCTACTACTGTAAGTGGTATCAATCAATACTACACGTAAAATAACAATTGAAATTACCTTAATTGAGGCATTGGAACGTCAATTTAACATTCCAAATGTTAGCAGTGTAGGCTGTGTAGAAATGAGTACTGCGGTTTTTGGCTCCAATTTAATGTCCTGAATGCTCTGCTTAACAGTCTGAATGTTAGTGAGGGAGGCGTCCTCTTCTTCCTCTTTTTTTAGGAAGCAAACAAGACTAAGATCATTGGTTTAGTTTGTTGCTAGTAGCAGCCTACCAAATGAAGAATGTGGATAATACTAGGGTCTACACAGGCCTACAGTGATACTATAGCATTTAATATGTTAAATTAGCATTCTGTATGTTAAAACTAACATTGAAAATGTAAAATTAATCCCTATGCCTCAATGAACGTAATTCCAATTGTTATTTTACGCATAGTAGTAGCTCTCTTCAATTATTGATTTAACAAACCTTGAACTGTAGTAGGAAACAAGCAAGTGTAACCCATTTTATGGTGTGTTCAGTGTCTCATTTTTTACAACAACTAACATCCTTCTTAAAATTTCTACCTTTGATGTCACTGACAGTATGAGCACAGACACCATGGCTCTCAAGAAGAGAGTGCAGGAAATAGAGAACATTTGTCCCAATATGGAGCAGGCCACTGATTCATTGGTGAAGGTTAAGTGCCAGCTCTTTCCTAAGAGGGGAAAGGATTGTATTGCAAGCAGTGGCTTGAAGAATCAACCAACAGCAAGCACTGATTTGAAATGCCCAGCGGCAAGCACTGGCTTGAAGCACCCAGCAGCAAGCTGGAGCTTGGGCTTGGGCCTTAGGCRTGTATCTRCCAAGYGTCCTGCTTTRAGCAGCAAAAAGCCTGTCACTACTGCAAAGAAGATCACAGCCTTTTCAAGTAAAAAGGGCAGTCCAGCTCACTTGTCCAGCAGCTAGAGATTGATTTGCTCATCTGTTTTGTCCTTTCTACTACAAATTCTGAATAAAAAGAGCATCAGTTCAAATGCTGAGTGCATCAATTATACTTGTGGTGGCTCTTTTCCTTGTGTTTCTCCACCATTAGGATGTCCTTTTGCTGTCTCTTTTGTACAAACAGTGCAGGTTGTTGTGTGCTATTGTAATCCCCTTGTGATTGCTGTTGATAGAACACCACCAAGTGCCTCCTTGTTGAGATAGTACTGCAATTGTAAACTTGTAGTAATAGTGTAAAGACCATATTRGATTGCAAAGCAACTGGTTTGTATTTGCATCTAAAACTTTTGGGCCAGGCCAACTCAAAGGCCCAGCTTCTTGCTGGTCCTTGGGGTATTGCTCAAGTTTATTGCATCTGATCTCCTCAGTAGCTATCATTCCTACTAAAGATAACTATCTACAAATAGTACAAACCCTATCTATCATTGAGTACATTATTGATTCAATTGACTGCTAGTAGATCCAATTGAATTGATTCAGATCACAGTCAATTCATCTAAATTGACTGAGTATCCAAGGAAGAAGCTACAAGGCAAGCTGCTCCAGAAGGGGACTTGAATCCAGGCTGGGCCAAGGGCCCAGCTTTGAGCAGCAAACAGCCTGTTGCTGCTGGTTCAAAGAAGGTGACAGTTGCAGGCAAGGATACTAGCAGTCCTGTTAGCTTGTCCAGCAGCCAGAGCTCTGCTGGCTTTGACTATGGAGACAGGTTCTTTGATTGATTTGCTCCTCATCTGTTTTTGGCCTTTCTACTACAAATGCTAAATACAAAGAGCATCAATTCAAATGCTGAACACATCAATTCTACTAGCGGTGGTTCTTTTCCTCCTGTTTCTCCACCATTAGTAGGATGCCTTGCTGTCCCTTTTGTACCAACACAGCAGCTTCTTGTGTGCTATTGTAATTCCCCTCTGTTGCGATTGCTGTCTGATAGAACACCAAGTGCCTCATTGTTGAGGTAGTAGTACTATTGTAATGTTATAGAGACCAATTGGATTGTAAAGCAACTAGATTCCAGATGTGCTGCATTATATTCCAAATCTGTGGGCCCAGCAGGCTGACTCAATGGACCAGCTTGCTGGTCCTTGGGGTATTGCTCAAGTCTATTGTATATACTCTTAGTAGCTATGATTCATACTAAAGATAAACTATCTACAAATAGTACTGTTGTAGATAGATGAGGAAAGATCTCGCCACTTGCAGGATCCATCCCACCTAAGTATGGTCAGTTGATTCAATAGACTGTAATTCAATTGATCTACTAGTTCATTCATTTGAATAGAATGAGGATCTAATTAAGAAGCTGCGGGTAAGCTGCTCCAAGGACTTGGAATCCAGGTTTTCCCAGTGGGATTCAATTTTGATAGGTTCAGGAGGAGTCAACTTGCCAGTAAGCCAGTCCCCAGGGGGTTGCTTCAGTCCATTCCAGCTACTTGCTGAATCCTCTTGGCTTGCCGGAGACCAGTGAGGTGCTGATGTTGTAGCTCCTGCTTGCTAATATTGTCTAGGTTGATAGATACCATCCATAGTGTATCCACTTTGGTCAACAGTTGAATCAAATGGGGCAAGGGACCTAAAGACCTCAGTTCTGATAGTGTGCTCAAGATCTGCGGTTGTCTAGTTAGGCCTTGTCATCTTGCTCACAGCCCCAATTAGATCACAGATCTTATCCTTGTCAATGGTACCATGCTTTGGTTGGTAAGGAGGCCTCGGAATAGAGCTGGAGATGGTCCCTCCTCTATCTGGTCTCACCTTGACTGTTTGAGCTTCTAAATTAGTTAGATGAGCTCTTAGATTAGCTCAAAGGAATACTCTATCAACATCGGGATCCCTCAGGCCTGGGAAATGCTCAATATTACTGCATATATCCTCAATGAACTGAGCAAAGGTCAAAGCTGATGTCCTCCAGCTCTGATCACCTCAATCCATATCCTTGGATTGGTGATGCATCCTCTAGTCTCAGGAGGCAGCTGTAGATCCCCTGGTTCCACAGCAAAGAGGACAGTCAGCTTGTTGGTCCTCTCATAGTGTCCTATCTTCCTAAATCTTCTTCTTATGACAGCCCATTTGTATTTGCTGCTAGTCCTTTGTAGGTTGAAAGCAAACTCATCCACATCAATGAATTTCCTCCTTGGGATACCAGCCACACCAAGGGGAAGAGAAAGAGTCCAGAACCACTCATATCTTGTCCTCTTCCTAAGAGTGAACCCTTGGTAGGCTTCAGTCAATACCCTCTTCCTGGCCATCTTCATTCCATCTAAGTGCCTGGAGATATCTACTCTACTAGAATAGATCCCTCTCTGGTTATAATTAAACATAACATACTCATCTGCACTGGCAGAAGGATTGATAGTTATACCAATAGCAATGAGCATTAGGTGGGGAACAAGCTTGGTTTGATTGCAGTTGCCTGTCATCCTGTATGGATCAAGGCACCTTCTCCATCTTGAAAGAGATGCCTTATTGGCAATAGCAGGAGGAAGCCCAGCAGCTTTCCTTTCCAGTTCCATCTCTCTTAGTACATACATAGGATAGCCATCACTCCCTCCCCTAGAAGGATGGTGAGGCTTTCAAGCTTGATTTGATGTGTTAATCTAGAGAGGCCATTGCCACCACCTCTGATCTATGGTATCCTATCTGCTGGATCAATAGGCACGCTGATTGCTGCTGATCTCAGAAGAAGTTGTCATAAAAAAGAAGCTATCATTGAACTCTTTTCTATAAAACAGGTTACAGTTGCTTGTTTGTCAGAGTTCAAGGCTTGTTAAATTGACAATTAAAGAAATCTATCTACAGATACCAGATACAACACAAATGAGTGAGTGAGTGAGTGAGTGAGTGAAAGTCCTTGATATAGAGTTCAGAATTAAAGAATAGTTTTAGATCAGCATGCTGGAGGGTTTTTTGAGTAGTACTTGTTGCAGTAGGGCCCAGTAGCATTTCACAATCAAAACCAATGGATTTTGAACGAAATCTGCAATCTATTATTCCCTTGATTTGTTATCTTCTATGAGGCTCCTGGTACTGAATCCTATGAGGAATTCTCCTTTTGGGTCTCACACTCCCTTTGAATCTCACTGAGAAGTTTGCTGATCAGCTGGATCAGCAGCTGCTGGGCCTACTGGTGCGCCCCTAATGGGGTTAGTAGTAGTACTAATTCTACGTAGGCTTACCTAGCTTAGTTGACAACTAGTAGGAATCAAAGTTGACAACTTTGATTCAAAGTTTTCAACTTTGTTTTAAGGCTTCTTAAGTCTCAAGTTAAAACTTTTTGCACCCTGGGCAACCTCAGTCTCAATTTTTATTAACTCCTAGTAGTGCTGGTGAAAAGGAGACTAAAAGCTACAAAATCTATTGTTTGATTTGAATAAATGTACATATAAAGTTTGAAAGTGCGACGAGAGAGAGTGAGAAGAAAATACATGAAATTTGGTATTTCCTGCAAAAGCTGTGGGTGGAAACCTTCTTCTTTTCAAGATGCTCTTGGTGTGTGCAACCTCCTCTAGTCTGATTAGTACTACTAGCTAGAAGTACTAGTAATACTAGGAGTGTATAGTACAGTGCAGTGATACCAACCAATTTCCAGGTGTCATAAGTTAGAGGTATGGGTGTAACACATCAAACACTTGTGTTCCATACTTCCTTTTTATGCTGAGGGATGATGTTTGCACAAGTCAAACTCCTCATCCTTATATGTGAGACACAGAAAGCTGGATTGTTGAGAGGAATGTTTTCTCCATTGTTCTTGGTTGATAATTGTTCTGAGAGCAATGACTGGTGTAAGATGTGATAATACCAGTCATATATTTGAGAGAGTGCCACATATTGGAAACTTATTTTCAAAAGAAGAAGTATCATCCCTATGGATACTCGTACTAGCTACTAAAAAGATAGTTGGCATCAAATTGAAATTTTCAAAAACTGCCCTTGAAGTACACTTCTTCTGTCGAACCAAAAGAATCCAAAACTATCATTGCAAAATACTGCATTGCATTACACATTGCTGCTATTAGATGCGAGATATACTCTGCACCGCGTTCAAAAGGCACCTTCGATGGGTGGAGTGGGTGGTTTGCTATTGTTTCCGCTGGCCTCTCTGGCTTCTTCTACAACGGTTGGGGTCAGGGATGCAACCTTTAGCGATTGCATTAGGACCGCTTTGTCGATCGGGGACAAATCCTTGGTGCTGCCGGCATCCTTCACCAACCCCTCAACGGAAAGCGACCCGAGGCTGCCGTTTTTGTACGCATCGCCGATCGCGGTGGTGTATGCTCCGTATCGTTCTTCGATGTCTCTCGGAATGGATTTTTTAGACACGTCTGCCGCCAGGGGCGACGGCATCGTTGGTGTGTGGTCCATGGCGGCTAGTGCAAGGTAAACCACGCACAACCAGTCCCGCCTCAGTGTTTTTTCTTCCTCCATGAGGGGTCGGTTGGCCGTGTTCGGCAGGTTTTGGTTGCCTTCTAGTTCTTCGAGGATGCAGTCGATCGAAAACCCCGCTTCGTACGCACCGATCGAGGTGGCAATGAACATTTTCAGGACGTCCACGTACCCGGACGCGAGTTGCATGCAAGCGTGCACGAAGGAAACCTCCAAGAGCTCGGCAACACCGGCCGGTGTCCGCGTGTCCGGAAACGTGTAGTTGGTGCCGTCGTACAGGGGCCTCGTGGAAGTCGACGAAAACAACGGCCCCGCTTCCGTGGTTGTGCTCCGGCCACTCGCGTGAGTTTTGCCTCCCAGAACGCCGCCGTGCCGAGCCGGTTGCACCGGAGCCAGGCTGTTCCCCGGAGAAACAACGAAGGAGCTCACAACGTCGATCACCTCGGATCCGACGAGGAAGCCGAACCAAAGGGCCAGGGAAAACGAAAATGCCTTCATGGTTGTTTCTCGAATGCTTGTTTCGATTTCGACGCTGCTGGGGACTCTGGCAAGGTAGGATCTCTGTCGTCAATCGGAAACCGGAGGAGGAAGTCGATTTGCCGTAATACGAACGATACAGTACGTACCGGTACGAGTACGAGTACTCGTAGCTATCCGTACGGTCTGTTTTTTCCTTTTTTCCGTTCGATTTGTAGAATACTGGAAGTAGAAGTACGTACAGTACGTACTGTATTCAAGTACTGTACTGTACTTCCTTCGTACGTATCTACAGTATCTACTGACTCCATCCTGTGTTCCCTGTCATGTCGTCACGTCAAAAGTGAAAACCGAAAACCAACACATTTATTACCACAGCACTGAGGAAAGGGGTCTTCTAGAATTTAGACCCCTCTACTAGTAATTAGTACTAGTAGTAGAAGTACGTACTGTACCGTGTACAATACGATACATTGCGAGTCCTAACTACGCTACGTACGTACGATACCTCAGCACATCAACCATTTCTTGGTTTGTTTTGGACTCGTCTATTTTTGATTTTTTGTTTTTTCCCTGTACCGTAGGATCCTGTGTTTGACTACAGCTCAATAATCGACACTCACGAACCCAAAGTGTTCCAGAGGACTGTTGTCAACATCAACAGCATTCTCGGTTTCGAAGCACCCGACTGTTGGATTGACCCAAGGAATGAGATTGGCGACAAGGAGAAAGAAACCAACGCTTCGAACAGAACGGAACAGATCAGAACACAACGAAACGAAAGGAAACGAAACGCCGTTGAAGACTTGAGGATGAAAAGCTTGGGAACCACGACTTCGATCAGCAGCACGGCAGTGCTGTTCCTAACCGTTTCTCTCCTGATCGGAAACGATGGTGGGGTCACTGGATTTTTCGTAGAAAAGGATGGTCTCCTTTCGACGCCGCCATCCACTCGAATCGCAACGGCGGCGTTTCGCAGCAAACCGCACCCACAACTCCGAGACCCGATATCCTTTCCTGCGACCCGTGCGACGATCGCCTCGTGCAGGGCAGCGCCAGCAACATACGGACCACGATATTCTTCACACCAACGGCTAAGGCGACCAACACTGGCACACCGCCACCATCCAGAGACTGCCGTTGCAGAGAGCACATCGAGCGCCAACCGCAGATTTTCACGCGCCAGGGACCGTTTGCGGGGAATCCTCGCCCGGGGCAAGAAAAAGACGCAGGGCGTCCGCAGCGTGATGGCGAGCCGCAAACCCCGCATCGATTCCGGCCTGCACCCAGGCGCACCGCGCTCCTCCCGCAGAAGGTGGCTGGCCCTTGCTTCTATGGCCGCGTCTCTCGCGGCCCGCCCCACCGTGGCGCTCGCCATGGGTGCGATGGGGGGGGGAAGCAGCGGGGTCTCCAGGGCCCCGCTGGCCAAGAACGAGCAGCTCTCCCTCTTTGGTCTCTTCTTTGGCCTGTTTGCGGGGCTGGCGCTCCTGCACGCGGCAGAAATCGCGATCACCACCCTGTACCCGTGGAAGGTCAAGGAATTCGCCGAGGAAGAGGAAAAACTCGGCAAGAGGGGCACCTTCAAGATCCTGAACGAGGACATCACCCGGGTCCTGACGACCATCCTGGTGGCGTCCACCACCTGCTCGATCTTTGCGACCACCGTGTTTACACACCTGGTCGCCGGTGTTTTTGGAAACTCGGGGGAGAAATACGGTGCGCTGGCGCTCACGGCTCTAACTCTTTTCTTTGTAGAGTTGTTGCCCAAGTCCATCGGTGTGACGAACGCCGAGAGCGTAGCCCGAATCATGGTTCCGCCCATCAACATCATGACCATGTTCGTGGCACCCATCGGGGTATCTCTGAGCTGGCTGTCCAAAAAAACCCTCAGCATCCTCGGATTCAAGGGAAAAGAAAGCTCGGGCATCACGGACTCCCAGCTCAGGCTGATCGTAACGGGAGCCAGGGATTCGGGGACCATCGATCACGGCGAGCAGGAAATGATCCAGGGTGTTCTTGGGCTGCAAAACCAGCGCGTCAAGGAGATCATGAAACCCCGCGTGGAAATCATTGCCGTCCCGAAAGACATGAGCGTGGCCAGCGTCCTGGGCGTCGTGAGGGAAAGCGGATACAGCCGCATCCCGGTGTACGACGGCGAGATCGACAACATTGTGGGAATCGTCCTAGCCAAGAACGTTCTCGATTTCTTTGTAAATGGTGTGCTGGTCGATGAAGACGTTGTGAAAAAAATCCGCGGGGAAGAAGCTTCCAACAACAGCAACAGCAATAGCATCCAATCACAGAAAGAAAATTTGCTAGTGACGAAAGACGGCGAGCCGGTCTCGTCTTCCTCGTCGTCGTCACCGCTTCCGTCGACCGTGGAGAAACTTTCGTCCCCGCAGCTCTACGCAAGCCAAGACATGCCGACCGTTCAAACTCCAAAGGGAAAGGAAAACTACGTGAAACCATTGACCGGCTTTGAGCTGGCCCGGAGAATGGAAAAATCGATCAGCGAGGCAGAGCTCATCGAAAACTGTTACTTCGTGCCCGAAACGGCAAACGGATGGTCGGTGTTGCAAGAAATGAGGCGCAGGCGCGTCCACATGGCGATCGTGGTCGACGAGTACGGTGGCACGGAGGGACTCGTTTCGCTCGAAGACATCGTAGAGGAGGTGGTTGGCGAAATCTACGACGAAGACGACGAGGAAGAATTCGATTTTTCGGAGGATTCCATCACGCTCCAGGACGACGGAAGCTTCGTCATTCGGGGAGACGCCGATCTCGGGGACTGCGACACGATTCTCAACCTGAACCTGGACGAGGACGAGGCACTAAAGGTGTTTGCGACCCTCTCCGGGTTTTTGTGCATGTGCGCCGGGGAAATCCCCCAGGTCGGCGACTTTGTAATGAGCAGGGGTTGGTGCTTTGAAATCATGAACGCCGACGACAAGAAAATCCTCAACGTCAAGGTCGATCGCCTGGTAGGGGCATACGAGGAAGGATTCGAAGAAACCGAAGAAGACGACAATCCCATTCGTGGATTGTTCAAAAGAAACGTTGCGAACGACGGCGATGAAATCGATGAAGACACCGAGAACGACAATGGTGAGCATCCATCAATCGCTCTCAACAGGGAGATGGCACGGGAGGTGGAACGCATGGTGGATTCCGGAAATGAGAAACGACTTCAGCTCGAAAGTGAACTGGACGAAAAACAAAGCTGACGAAAGTAGTACAGTACTAAGTTAAAATGAGAAACAATATTTAGCGGTTGTCAACACATCATTCAATTAGTAATTTTCTTGGTTTGCGTTGTTAGCATATCCAATCGGGGGAGTTGTAGTGTTTAGATTATTAGGCCGACGAGGTTATATTCTATATTCGGCGAAAACTTCGCTGTTTCTTGTCTGAGCTGGATTTTGAACCGGGGTGGATGTTACCCTTTCGCAACGTGATCTTTCTCTAGTTGGTCATCTTTGCCATTCGTGGCTTCTGGAATGGCGTTCCCTCCCTCAGGCATGCTATGCAAAGCATCGATTTCTTCTTCACTTATTGATGTATTCAATAGCTTTGTTTGAGATGTAGAACGACGAGAAGGGGAAAAGCCGTAGCCGTAGTTGTACGCAAAGCTTGCCTGCGGTGACATCATGAATTGAGTAGCGGGGGATGGCGGAGCGTATCCTTCTCTGCTTCCATACCCATATCCATAGTACTGCTGTCTCAGGAGAAGTGGCTGCGCATTCATATTATTCTTCATCTCTACCGTTGACATATCCTCTTGACTAAAAGACGAATCCACGTTCCGATGAGGCGTGGGTGGAACCGAGCCAGGAGGACTTGAGAGTCCCATCATCGCAAGGGTGGCATGATCTTGAAGATGGCCCCAATAAGGAGACATAGGAACATGATTTGTCCTGGGTTTGTAAGGCGTCCTATGAGTATCGAATGATTCGTTTGGATTCTCTGAGGATTCCGGCAATTCTGTTGGTTCTTGATCTGCCTCGAGAGAAGAATTTTGTGATTCGTTGTGTCCATCGGGTGTTCCAGGAACAGCCTGTGAGTCAGGATTGTGGTATTGGTCAACTGAATGATGGCGCATCCAACCTGTAGGATCCAAATGCTGAGGATCGTACGTCTCGCCTGGATAAACGGGAGGATTTGGTGGTACAGCGGATGAAGGATAGGATCCATGTGGTCCTCCGTGAATTGCGTGATGAGGCGCATACATCATAGAGGAATAGTATTGCGGATGCGCGGGAACTGCGCCATGGTTGTAACCATTCAAATAACCACGGGAATAACTTGTATCGCATGATAGCGTCGAATGAACACTTACATCATCTCCATATGGATATGGATGATGATGATGCTGCCATCCGTTTTGCCACCAACCATGATGAGGGTATCCTTGCCAATTTCGTTGAAGACCCTGTCTTCCTTTTGAATTATGAGTGGAAATATGGCGAGGGCAAGGAGCTTCGGCATCGACTGATGAAACCGACAACGACGATTTGACTGATCCTGTTTGATTGCGTTCTCTTCGCCTCATGGGTTGTTTTGAACTACGTCTCTCTTCTTTCGAAATGTCTTTCCCAGCCAGTTGCTCCCTAGCATTTACAATAGCTCGAAGGAGCTGTTCGTCAATCTGGTTTCGCAGTAGTGTGCTATCGACGTCTCCGGGCTCGTTTAGTGACCTTAAGCGAAGCTTCGACACAAATTCCCGGGAACTCTTTGCTGCCTCTTCACTGGATTCGACCCATCCTTCGAAATGTTGGAGACAATCCATCCATTGTTCCGAATCAAAAAGTGAAACCGAGGCTAAGTGATCTGAAACAGCACAGACTTCTTCGCGCAGAAAAACGGCGACGGGAGATACTGAGTTTTTCACACAAACACTATTTCGCTTGAGTTTCTTGATGCACTTCGCGAGGAATTTGTGATAGTGTATAAGTGGCCATAGATATCTATAGAGAAAAAAAATGTAGGCGGTGAATCTAAAAGAAATGAAATGAATTTATTATTCACTGAGTATACACGACACAAATCAACTCACCTCCATCTCTTATTGTGACTATTTGGTTCGATCCAAGGGTTCTTCCCGCTTTTGGCTTCCCACCAGCTCCGTGATGGCTTCCAAAGTTGAGTTCTACTACCACTCGAGAGTGAAGTCAATGGGTTCTCATAGTCACGTTCGCCTATCGCTTGAAGAAATGTGGGGGGGCAAGCGTTGACTGAACGTGCTTCGTCAGGATTTCTTGAATTTATTGCTTCCAATAGCCATTCTTCTTCGTCTATAAGGGCCACGTTGATGATTGAACTCGAGCCAGTAAATTCCGATCTAGAACGGCCGTGGACGGCCATAACGAGAGGATCAAACTTTTCGTCAATTTCGTCGGGGTTGCGATTGTACCCTGAGTCATCGTTAGATGCCATTGTTGTGGCCTCTTTATTGATGTCGTGGATGATGGAATAGAAGCATACCCTCCTAACGAGTGCATCCGACATATCTCGCTGTAGTTGCGGGTGTAATCGAAATTGAAATGTTTTTTTTTCTACAATAGCTTCATCTTTTTCAGTGGGATCTGATTTTATTGGCGTGATCAAATTCGATGTACTTGTTGGAGATGATAAGGTTGTACCCATGGAAGCAGAACTCGCTGCTGTTTCAAGTTCCGCGACTCCGGTGGGAGAAATGATATTTGAGCTTCCAGAGGTGTTAGATTTCCCAACTAGACCACTTAGATTTTTCAAATTTGGAGAATCCGTTACGCTGTTTGCCCACGATTTGGAAGGTTTGATGTATAGCTCTTCAAAAGCTTCGGTAAGATTTCGGCGAGGAATTGGAACAGGTTCAACCGTTACAGATGCGGCTTTGCTTCGGAGGCCCCGGTCGAAGTCAGGATCCGCCGATTGACTTTTACTAATGGCTCTCATTGACTCGGACGAAAAGGATCTTAGAATCTCCAATGATGGATTGTAATCTTTCTCTGGTAATATCACGTCTATAGAGGCTGTTGAAACCTGTAGACTGCTTGGTGAACTACTCCTTCGTCTTCTTCGCAATATATCGTTCAGGTTGTTATTGCAATTCAGTTCCCCAGAGACTTCACTGGCCTCTATCCTCGCAACGTCTGGTTGTTCTTTTTTCTCTTCGACGCAATTCTGTTTTTTGTTCGTTAGATTTCCAGATACATCTGCTTTGTCCCGTGGATATTTTGAGACCAATCCATACCAGGAATCATCCATTATGAAAATTATGACAGGGAAGAGTGGCGAGATTTTTCGTTGACGATTGTCGTGTATTCAATGGTTCGTATTGATTCGATGAGTGTAGAAAAGTTAAATAGAGTGTTCCACGATGCATGCGATGCGTAGCGAAAACGGATTTTTTCAGTTCCCAACAGAAAAATTATAACCAAGAGGAGTATTCGTTGTTGGTTGTCCGGTTAATATTCCGCGAGCAGAATTTAACAATTGATTTATAGTGGAGTGATGGATGGACGTCGTAAATTAAATTGTATGTTGATACAACAGAAGACAGGAATATTCCAAGTTTAAGTGAGAAAAATAAAGTTCCAAGTTTTGGTGAGATGAAGTTAACGGACTTTCGGACGGGTTGAGATGTTTCGATACTGGTACTGCAAGCTCCAGGAGCTTTGTTCCATTGCTGAAGAGAACTGCGTTCCGAGTCTGCAAATGCAACGCGCTGGAGCATCGGTTGTGCTCTATCGTGTACAGTAGATGGTTTGTATGAATCTCTAGTTAGGCATTCGGTTGAGGAGGTCTTTCTCGCCCTACCGGTAACACGAGATGATGAAGTACAGTAGTACCGAACGGTAGCAACTTTCAGAAGGAATTGATACAGAAAGGGAAACAGGCCTTACTCCCGTAGACATCGTGCAGCCTCTAGAGTCCGACAACGAAAGCATGCTTCCATAATAGAATATCTACAGTCACGTATACGTATATACATTACAAAAGCCGAATTTCAATCCTGTGATATTTCGATTCACGAATTCCAGCATCAAAAAGTGCTTCCGACGAACCGAGTGTTTGAACTTACGGATGAAATTGTCGTTTCCCCTAACGTCAAGTGATTGGTCTTTTTTTTCCTCTTCTATGTCTATTCGATGCATGTTGTGTGGTGAATTATCAAACATCGTTGCGTGTGTCGTTGCTGCTGTTGTAATCATGATAGACGTTACGCCGTTTGTGTCACCTCGTTGTTTTCGCTGAGAGATAGTTGCCAGGAGGAACCACCCAATGTACGGTAGAGCACTTGATGTTCCAAGTACTACCCATAAAACCTTTCCGGGACCCCGAAGAAAAAAGAAATAACGCGAGGGCATAGTACATAACATACAAGTGGTATCGTAGTCCAGTACGTGTGATGAAATTGACTCAATCTCGAGAGACATGAAGTAAGTACCGGTGCGTAGTATCTCGTCGCAATAAGGACAGTTATCTAACGCATCATAGGTTAGGAAACTGAACTATTTAATTTAACGATTAGATAACCGTAAACATTGACATCCTCTCTCTCCCATACAAACAACAAAAAATTTCATACCAATGCACATGATAAGAATAATGAAAAAAATTGTGCTACCGTAAGGTATTACGTACCACTATGGCAGAATCAAAAAATTGAAATGGGCAGATTGATGTTCTTGCGAGCGTTAAGAGCGTCCCTGCGTCAGCCTCGCGTCCGAGTAAGGCGGACATGGTTTTCAAATTTTGGCGACTTCCGAGTCTTCTCGTAAAGCTACGTACCGTACGGGTTACATTACTTTACTTCAAAAAATGCGTTGAAGAGAAATGACTACGTACGGTACCGTACGTACCGCCATTCAGCGGTCATAAAATTTGAAGGGAGCGGAAAGCGGAACGCATCGAAAACTTGCATTCCATGTTTGCACAGGAGTTTGCAGGGCATTTTAGAGCGACTTGGCGTTAATTTAGAGTTAGGGATAAATCTAAAGTTCAATAGGACTAAAGAGCTGCTTTGTTGAGTGAAAGATCAAAACCTCCAAGATCAAAAAAAGATGAAGAACTGATTAAGCAGGCAATACTCCTTGGAACCAATATTCAAAAAGCATACAAGGAAGAAKGAGAGGTTGATAAGCTTGAAAGGGCTACTCGTGTCCTTGAGAGAACACTACAACAAAGATCAACAAGAAGTAAAGTTCATACTACTAGTAAGAATGATGGAATTGCTAGTAGTTGTGTCCTTGAGAGAAGAGGACCAGAACACAGCTTTCAGATGAGGACCAGGCAGAATTCCTTACCCACAGAGAGAAAGAGGCAGGAAGAAGCAAAGAATAAACAACCTGTGGCAAAGGAACCACCAGATGAGAAAGAGGAGACTGGAATCAAGATCAAGAGCAAAAGAAGAATGGTATCATCAAGGCCAACTTCAGTGAACTGTGTGAAGGATCAGAATGTTCAGGCTAAGTTTGCTGTAGTGTCAAAGCATCTTAGCAAATTGCAGTATTGCAGCACATGGGAAAAGAAAATTGACCATGATGAGAAGCCCAAATCACAGCACTTCATGTTTACATATGATGAGATGGTGCGGGGGCAGAAGCCACACTGTTCTAAAAACAGCAGCATCAAAAGAGCTGAAGCTTCTTCTATTATTCTGCCCAGAAGATTTGTGAATTAAAAGATTTTGGTCAACTACTGATTGATGTAGGCAAGGCAATAGTTAGGAAGACAGGAAAAGGGTACCACTGCAATACAGATCCAGATGAATATCATGATCTGGTGTTTGGTGAAAAGAATACGAAGTTGAAATGTTAGTTGATGAAGTAAAAGTAATGATATCTGTGTTTATATTTTGTTATCAAATGTTCCTATTGCATGCAGCAGCAACAAACGTCCTAAAGGTTGGCAAACAGCAGTAGCAGCCATCGCTGACACTGCTGGTAACCTCTGTGTTCTATTGACCGTAGTGGCATTGAAAGTGACAGCATCATGTATCATCAATTTGAGAATCAGTCTCAATAGTGAACCCAACAACATGGGCAGTGATGCCCTCCAGCACTTGGCAATGAGAGTAGTGGCATTGAAAGTGACAGCATGTGTCATCAATTTGAGAATCAGTCTCAATAGTGAACCCAACAACATGGGCAGTGATGCCCTCCAGCACTTGGCAATGAGGAGAGGATGCCTTGGAAAATTACTCGCCAAACTCTTGTTATCCTCCAGCATTTGAAACAAAGAAGGAGCGGATCAAAGGCCCAATTCTATTCTTGTATTCATGTAGTGAAAACTTGAAGACTAGCCTCTCCACTCCTGAACCAAAATCTCCAGTAACCCTCATTCTTCCAAACAAATGCTTTCCATGTGCACTAGGAATACGTCTAAAGTCAAAACCATATGCTGTGGTTTTCAAGTCAACTGTAAACAATGGGTCTTGTGGCATTGGATCTGTACTGAAAATCCAAGTGCTCACTCCTTGGCCATCAAATATTTGTAAGATGCTTTCTTCATCCACACAAAGAAAAGCTACATCAGCAAATTGTGTAGGTCTCTCTCCATCTAAAAGATCCCAAAAAGACATAGCATAATAAAATGTCTTGACATTGGAGAAGGGCATGCTGATAGTCCTAGTATGAGGGTTTGTTTGGTGTTGGTAGTGTATGAAATTATGGTCCAGCTTGCCAATAAGCATTACAACTGAAAAACTCAAAACAAGCAGTTTGAAATTTTTGATTCACTTCAAAATTTGATGGAATGGCAGGTGTCCGATAGTACTGGAAAAATTTGACTTATTCAAATGCCTCCCCTGCCTTGATCCCCTGTTTCCGCGGATATAGGAATCAAATCATAATTCAATGAACCCTGAGAAAGAAAGCAAACATCAACATGAATACTAACTTGATCCCACAATTTGTTGGCACCAGAAATGGCACTATCAAAAATTATCTTAAGCAATTTCACTGGTGAACTGATTGAAAGAGATATCATTAGATTGACAAGATACACAGATTGTCCTATCCTGAAGCAAGAAACTGGCTCCAAAGGATCAACGCTGCTTCTGCTGTTTGACATGGTTCTGAAGGATCTGCTACTAACAATGCAGAAGGAGATAAAGAAAGAAATGCATCCTCTCAGCCAGTTGAAGAGGGCACTAACAATTTGGATAACAGCTTGGTCAATCTCTTGGAAGACAGTGGTAGTGAAGGTACCATTGATGATGAGAGTTCTGTTCATGACTTAGCGCAAAATGCTCAGCAGTGTCTTGATGTTTCTGTTGCAATCGACAGTGACATTGAGTACAAGCCAGAGTTATCCCAGCAAGTCAGTTATTGAAAGTATTAACAGCACAGATCACAATTCTTAAAGCAGTGTTAGTTTCAAACGCCTTCTTAGAGTCCTTCCTCTTTACATTGAGTACTCTTATGGATCTGGGACAAGGTACATTCTGTGTCACTCTGAGGTGCACAGAGCATAAATGAGAGTGACACCATCCTTCATTTTTGATGGAGTAGCGCACCTAAAATAAAGACGGCAGATGTTAAATATGATGAAAATGAGGAGTGACGCAAAAAAGGTACATATAAATGCATAAGATTAGTACATGCCTTGTAGTACAGTACACACTTTTTTCATTAGGAACAAAATACTTTTTTCTTCTCTGTTGAAATCAAGTATCATTCTCCAAATCTTTTTCTTAATGTGAGAGCATATCACATGGTCATGAAGATGCAACAATCTGGCAAATAGTTCTTGTCATGTTTTGGAGGACTGTCCAAGGTTTTCATGTAGAGCAGAGTCACCTGTAGAGGGTGAGGCATGGCCACTGCCTTATTGCAGAAGGTATCATTTTCTGTTGCAGAAGGGTTTGTTTGCTGTTCCAGAAGGCCTCTTTGTGGCAACATTACCATGATGAAGCAAATATATATTATTAATGTATTATTGAAAACTCTTTGCTTGATATTAGTAAATGCATCAGCCTAGCATTAACACCTCTTGCAATGTTTTGTTTCTCTCTGTTCAAGAAGAAAAGAAGAATTTTCTTTAATATCTTGTCCCCTCCAAAGAAGGAACTACACAAAACTCTGCTCCAGACATACTCATAAAAGGCAAGAAATCCATTGAAACTACCGATCCTAATATGGATGAACAATTATAAGAATCTTGAGGAGAATTGGATTCTGAACTACCTGGTGAGGAGAAACCAGATTCCACTCTAAATTCATTGTTGTTGTGCTTGCTTTATTGCTTTCTCATTGGCCCAACATAATATATATTTTAAAGCAGCTTGGGAAAGGCTGGACAAAGACAGTATCATAAAAAGAAGTATATTTGATTCTTACAACAAGAATTTCAAGGGAAACTTGCAGACTGTGTCTGATTGATAGATGATGACAAAGAAAGACAACATTTTTCCATTACAAATGAGATGGTTGCAGAACTCATCTCTTCAGTTGAAGAATGTAGCAATTTCATTTGCTCAAAGAGGAATAGATTTTGCCCTCTTGAATCATTCCTTTCAAAACAGAATTTGAGTTCTGGACCAGGGTTGTTAGTACGAATCCTTTTATTCCAGCACAAAAGAGATCATCTGGAGACGCAAAAATATCAATGCAACCTAATTGTTTTTCTTCATACTATTATTCAGAGATTCTGTGGGAATTCTGCTGTTGCATGTGTTGCACTCAGCAGAAAGAAGGGATCAAAGAATGAGGATATGCAGTGGCTCTGGTTGCTTGCCAATGAGATGGTTTGGACTATCCTTCCACCAATTACAAGGCAAGGAAGAAAAAGTAGAAAATCATCTCCAGCATTAAAAGTAGTGCAACAGCTCCAACAGCTCAAGTTTCTGATGACTTATCAACTTCTGTACAAGAATCTTTGTCTCCTGGTAGTAGTGTACCTGTATCCTCAGTATGCAGTCTTGTGCTGTCGCGCTCGACCGCACATAATTTTCTCCTTAAGGAAGGTTTTCCAGAGTACAGATCAGAATACATACGGATTACACCAAGTAATCTAACTGAGGACAAGGTCGAAGAGCGAGGCTGAAGTTAGATTACTTGAGGACCAGCGCCCAGCAGCTCGCCGATTATTTACGACATAATTGACCAGTTGGTTGGATTTTTAGCATGTACTACTCACGCGCGCAAGAGTACTTAGGTGATACTGAAATCGCATGCTAAGAAACATGGGGCTGAATATAATTTTAGAATACAGTAATCAAAAATTGCAGGTTTGTACTCCAATGAGGTGCGAGAAATAGGAACAAAAATAACTAGTGTTTCTTAGTGTGTGATTTTAGTATCACATAAGTACTCTTGCGCGCGTGATTACATGCTAAAATCCAGCATCTGGTCGATTATTACTAGTACTTCCTCCGTCCCCAAATAGAGGTACCTATGACCCTTTTTTGTTGTCCCTAAAGAGTGTCCTCGAGTTTAATTAACACTCATGAATAGTTTTATTTAACCCCAAATTGAATATGATTGAATATGACTGTGTAGAACGCGTAGAATCAGTACCATAAGGTGGAAATGAGCATGCGCGTGGTTAAGAATTATTTTCACGCATAAAATTACACATACTATTAACACAGCAAATGAAATTTTGACAACGGTACGGTGCACCTCTTTCAAACAAGAAATGACCGCACAGGAACCTTCTCAATAAGTAAGATAAGAATACTGTGATAAAGCTCTCACTCCTGGCTTTCTAGAGCTGTTGGTGGTGTCTTTAAATGACCGGCAGAACCCTTTCAACCGGTAAAATGAAAATCATATGCTAAAATTGGGTCTCTGTAAGTAGTTATAGCAAGTACGTCAGACACATTGACTATATTTAATCTACATGATTGAATAAAAGTATAATAGATCTGTTGAGTGCAAAAAGAAGCATTCCAATTGCCCAAATATTGACCTTATTTCGGTAGTAAAGGTGCAAAAGGGACATTTAATTGGGGACAGAGTAATAATTTTTGGTGTTTGAATAGATCTGAGTAGAATGCCTTTTTGCTTTTTGCCCTGTAGGACGTGGTAGGGTTCATACGGTTAACGCATTTTACTTCGATTCAACTCGTACTAGCAAACGTGGAAGAAAACATGAACAAGAGTACAAACAAGCAATAATCGTTATGTTAGGGGCTCTCTAGGCGAAGCGACAAGTTCCAACTCGTACGCACTGCTCATAGAACATGACTGTGTCAGCTGTAAATTGGTTCAAAAGAGTGCTCGGCTTTGGGTACGATAATCATCCCTCAAAGCATGCAATGTGCCAATATTCTCGCTGTTCTCGTAGTCTGGCTAATTTTTCCATATTTTACTTGCAGTTCCCCTTCGTCTCTGCCTTTGAAATCAATGTTTCGACCAGCTGATTGAATTTTTCTTTTTTGCTTCAATTCTTCTCAGTCCATACTTTCGGAGGAGAAGCAATGGATTAGAAGGCATGATTGTCGCATCTTTTCTCGGTGTAACAAGCGGTATTTACATTTGGAAACCTATACTGGAAGAAATGGAGATAAATCGAGCACGTCGAGAACTCGAAGAGCGCAGTGCATCAAAGGAGAGAACCTAAATTCGAGAAACGGATTGTAACCTTGAAGCTATTTACTCAAATCTTTGATTGATCACGCCATTACGTATTGCTTAGATTCCACCTCGAAGATTTACTAAAAATTAGTCAAGTTAAGGTAATAGCTCGGCGTATTCTAATACAGAGCACTACCGCCCATGTTGCTTAGGGAATAATTCTTCAGTTCGCGTTGCATTCGATCCATGTCGGCCAAAGCCTCCCAGACTTCCCTAGGTACCGATCCTTTGTTCTCCTTAGATTCTAGATCAAGGAGAAATTGCTGAACAGTCCATATCTTTTGTTGTAATATTTTCGACCACATTTCGTGCTGGTGCTGCTTAGGGGTGATGGGAATAGATGGCGTTGTGCCCACTGCAGGAGTAGTTTGTAACGAGTCGTTGTTTCGATTCGTGAAGTCTCCATAGCTTCTCTGAGTGCCAGGAGACTGATCGTGTCCTCCATTGTTCGATATCGATGCTTTGCTGCTTGGATGAGCAACCGAAACAACGGCCTGAAGAGGGTCAAAAGGAAGATTATTGTCTCTTCGCGAGGCAGCTTCTTTCCATTCGACAGTGGTGGTGATGATTTTTTTTCGAAGTGATTCACTTTTTTGGTTCAAAGACTGCCGCATATTGTGAAACGAAAACAGCGAGTCCCCCCCCGAAGACGGAGATCGCTGTTGCTGTGCTGGTCGTAAGTGAGCGTGAGCATTTTGGTGGTTACGAGGTGCCACTGATTCCAAATTCTGCTGCTGCTGCTGCTGCTGCTGCTTCTGGTGTCTCTGTCCTGTAAACGATCTCGTCGATGGTAATTGGATTGGCCGACCATTTTCTCTCTGTTCCATCAATTTTTCAAGAATATCCGTCAACGGAGTAATATCCGCAAGTGGAGGCACATTCATCAGCAGATCTAGTGTATTGTTGTCTGGAATCAAAAGGCCATCGCTCATCAATAAAATCCGACCAGCCGACGCAATTTCCAACGCTTGCATGAGATTGTTGTAACTGAAAAGAACATCCCAAAGCTTGAAGACATTTTCATACCCTACTACTTCCCTCGAAAACATTAAACGAACCCATCGTGTGCAGTAAATTGGCGGAGGGGGAATATTTGGATTATTTGTCAAATGATGATAAAGTGTAGGATTGTTTTGAAGAATCTTGCCAAGTATTGCTATTGACATCTGCTGAAGCGATTTACCACCAGAAGCATCGTATGCTGTCCTTAATTGCTCCAAAGTTCGTTCTAGAAGGACAAAACAAATCGGTAGAATGGGATTGAACAGGGGATGATCCGGATATTCTTTGTGCTCTAATTCTAAAACATAAAGAAGATAGGAAGCAATCTCGTGCATTCCCTGTCGATATCCCATTACGGGATTTTCTTGCGCTAAATATAAAAAAGGATGAAACAGAATATGAGGGGTTGAACAATGTTATTGGTAGCTCACAATATCCAAGATTTTGTTGCGCTCCACATTCAAAATGAATGATGCAGGATTGTCGCATGCACCTACCATACATGTATAGGATTTCCCGTAACGATGTTATTCTTGCATCTAACTCCGGTGTTCTGGATTGTKGTGACAAATTTCCGACGATCGGCTGTTTCGGTTCAGCTGGATGCGGCAATCGTTTCAAATCTTTCTCGATGATTATCAGCTATGGAGTGAGGGATAGAAACAAATACCAAACAATTAAAACAAGGCGTCAAAGGAGACCATGATTGGGAAATGATTGAGACACAGCCATTATAGTCTTCATCAACATAAAAATGAAAAGTTACACTAAAATTCCAGTTCAATCAACCAAACGTAAAACAGGGAAGGCAAAGATTTGCGCCATGTGGATGTAAAATGACCTTTGCCACAACAAGTATCAAGAACTTTCGGACATTCACTCACCGACGCTTGATCTACTTCATCGCTCTCGCTTTCGATGACACGAGCATCTGTGCTCAATCCTCTTTTCCTCCTTGCTCGTTCCTTGCGATATTTCAAATACAATTCAGCCTTTCTTGTTTTCTGTGCTTCTTGTTCCATTACCATTGCTGTCAATGGGTCGATTTCGATGGGCGTTGTGCGAGTATTATCGTTATCGACTGCATTAATGTCCGAAGAGTTGTTTGATTCGCCCTGCACCCTGTCGGCCTCGTCTATCGTTTCTTCGATGTGCTTTGCTACGAGGAGTTTGAATCGTTCCTCTTGTTCAGCGATAATTTCTTTGTTGTGTTCGAGTAAGGATTGCAATGTGCAACGACTTTCTTTATCACTATTCGGAATGGCAAGGGTTGKGTCTTTAAGAAGACCGAGTTGTATGCGCCATCGAACTGATCGAGGTAAATATGCTAAATGAGCTCCATTTGTTCGAACGCCTTGCTGCTCTTCCTCTGAGACAGTGGGTACTATCATTCCAACCTGAGACGGCTGACCATAAGAGCCGACATCTGTACTCGCAGTATGCTCACTATTCGTTACACTACTTGTGGAATCCATTTGTCACTACCACAAGTAGATGGTTTCTCTTTTGGGATCGACGAGTTGCGAAGGAACAGGTGCAATGACTCGAAGATTCTTACGACTACTTGAAAGAAAGCAACAGCAACCGAGGTTGTCCCCAAGTTAAGAATTACAGTAAATAATACTACGCGTAAAATAACAATTGGTTGCGGCCGCCGCCGTTTTTTTTAAGGATGGCTGTGGCCAAAAAAACTTACTACGGTGCAAAAACTAGGTTATTGCTCGAATGACTTGTTGTCACAATAATGACTGAATGTTTAAGTTAAAAATGAATAATCTATTTTTGGTCAAGGTACTACTTTATTTGCAAAAAATGGTATACCAGGGTTTGTACAAATCCAAACTAAAAACAAGTTTCTTTTGTTTCCTCGGTAAGTCCAGGGCTGTAAGAATTCTTCAAAGTTACTGGCTACCACGCACTAAAGTTAGTGAAGTGCAGTGCAGTGCACCGTAGCCAATTGAAATTACATTACTGCGTGTAAAATAACAATGGAAACTACGTTCATTGAGGCATAGGGAACATTGATTTAACATTCTGTGAAGAAATGAGTACTGTGTTTTTTGCTTCAACTTAACGTCCTGAATGCTTTGCTTAACAGTCTGAATATTAGCAGAGGAGGCATCCTCTTCTTCCTCTTTTTTAGATCCCTTCTTCCTTTTTAGGCATGTGCAAGACTGAATGAAGAATGTGGATAATACTAGGATCTACGTAGGCCTACGTGAAAAATTTAACATTCCGTAGTTAAATCAAACATTTGGAATGTTAAATTAACGTTCCCAATGCCTCAATTAATGTAGTTTCAATTGTTATTTTATGTGTAGTAATTGAGGCATTKGGAATGTTAATTTAACATTCCAAATGTTAGCAGCGTAGGCTGTGTAGAAATGAGTACTGTGTTTTTTGCTTCAATTTAATGTCCTGAATGCTTCGCTCCACAGTCTGAATATTAGCAGGAAAGGATGTCCTTCTTCCTCATTTTTAAAGTACTTGCAAGACCCAAATTAAAAAATCTTAAAAATATATTTACCTCATGAACTAGAAGAGGCACTATATGGCCAGAACCAGAGCCTCTCCGGACTAGGGAGAAAAATGCTCCTACTAGTACTACTACTAGTACTAGTACTACTAGCTGCACTGAGGGGCGGCACCTCCCTCCAAGGAGGTTTTGTGGAGGCGCAACCAAGATTTATGCACATAGACAGGGCAATGAAGGCCTAAGGTTGGATTCAGAGGACATAAAAGCAATTGGGTCACAGTTTGGATGGGTGAGAACCATGCCATTTTCATTTCAAAGGGCACTGCCAAGCCCAAAGGCAAGCTTCCACATGCAGTGATAAAGGAAATGTGTGCCAAGCACACTGCCAAGCCAATAAAGGCAAGTCACACCCCAGTGGGCAAGGACAGATGTAGTGGAGTAGTCAAAAATCAAAAATTAAAAAAGCCAAAAAGAAAAGTGACACGCATCTTTTAAATCACAGCTGAGCCCTCCCCCGAGGAGCAGCTGTTTGTGGAGCATCTTCTTGAAGAAGAAACTGGGGATAAACCAACAAATCTAGTAATACTGTGGGCTGGGGTTGTTGTTGTTGCTGTCCAACACAAATGACAGAAACAACAACAATCGTGACCGGAAGCACTGGTGGGGCTTTCAGTCATTGAGAACTGGGGATGGATCCAGCTGAGCCAAACTGCAGCTGGTGGAGGATAATACTGGGAATGATACTGGTCTAGTAGGAAGTATTGGCTGGGGTTGTTGTTCTTGCTTTCTGGCACAAATGCTGGAACCAGCAACAACAACGACATGACCAGAATCTTTTTCCACTCTGTAAATACTGGTACTGCATGGAGATGCTGGGGAATCTTTTAACTGAGTATGGTGTAGCATATACTCCAGGTATTGTTCCTCAAAGGATAGGTCTTGGTTTGATACTTGGGGCTGGGGTTGTTGTTAGTGCTTTCCAGCATGAATGCCAGAAACAACAGCAACAACAACATGAACGGAAAACTCTTCCAGTCAGTAAATTAAACTGGAACTGCATGGAGATGCTGGGGAATCTGTTTGAAACTGAGTAGGGTGTAGCACACACTCCAGGCATTGTTCATCAAAGGATAGATCTTGGTTGAATACTAGGGACTAGGGTTGGTGTTATTGCTTTCCCACATGAATGTTAGAAACAACAACAAGCATGACTGAAAAAAACTGCTGGGGCGTCTGGTCCTTGAGAACTGGGAATGGATCCAGCTGAGGCAAACTGCACACAGCTGGTGGAGGACAATACTGGGAATGATACTGGGCTAGGCAGTAGTATTGGATGGGGTTGTTGCTGTTACTTTCTGACACAAAAGCTGGAAACAACATCAACAACAATGTCACCAGAATCTTCTTCTGGTCCGTAAATTACTGGAACTGTATGGAAATGCTGGGGAATCTTCTTTAAAACTGAGTATGGTGTAGCATATACTCCAGACGTTGTTCTTCAAAGAAGGTCTTGATTGAATACTAGGGGCTTGGGTTCTTGTTGCTGCTTTTGGGCACAAATACCGGAAACAGCATCATCATCAACAACAACAATGTGACCAGAATTGGCTTCTGGTTTGTAAGGAATATTGTCAGAACTGCATGGAGATGCTGGGGAATCTTCTTTAAAACTGAGTATGGTGTAGCATATACTCCAGGCATTGTTCTTGAAAGGAGGTCTTGGTGGAATACTGGGGGCAGGGGTTGTTGTTATTGCCTTCTGGCACAAATGCCAGAAACAACATCATCATCATCATCATCATCATCATCATCATCATCATCATCATCATCATCATCATCATCATCATCATCATCATCATCATCATCATCATCATCAATAACAACAACAACAACAACAACAACAACAACAACAACAACAACAACAACAACAACAACAACAACAACAACAATGTGACCAGAAGCTTTGACCAGTCCGTAAAATACTGGAATGGCATGGAGCTAGGGAATCTTCTTTTAAACTGAGTATGGTGTAGTATATAGTCCAGGTGTTGTCCTTCCAAGGAGGTCTTATTTGAATACTGGGGGCTGGGGTTGTTGCTATCGCTTTTGGGCAGAAATATCGGAAACAACCAAAACTTGACCGGAAAACACTGGTTCTGGTCTGTAAATAAAATGGGAATACTGCAGGAACTGCATGGAGATGCTGGGGAATCTTCTTTAGAGTATGTATGTAGCATATACTCCAGGCGATGTCCTTCAATAGGTCTTGGTTGACTACTGCTGGGGCTGGGGTTGTTACTGTTGCTTTCCGTCACAAATGTCAGAAACAACAACAACTTCAATACTGTAAGATACGGTACTTCCAGAGGAACGGGGTATGGATCCAGCTGAGGCAAACTGCTGTTGGATACTCATATAGAATAGTCTTTAGTAGATGGCTTCTTGCTATTTAAAAGGGCTTGAATGGAGCCAGGGAGGTGGGTTTTCCCCTTCTGAAGGGGATATCACCATGGTTGGATGCCGGAAGGTGCTTGTCAGGTATGTATGTACATAGGACTCAGTAGGAAATATAGGTGATAATTTTCAGAACCAAAGCGTAATTTTGTGCGTTTGAAAAAATTGGTTTTGAACATTATAACTAAAGTCTTCTTACACAATGTATCTACTATTACTATTACTAGTAGGGGCGCTAGATTGAACATAGTAAAGAGTGTAAGACATAACATTCAGAGTGCTACACTTAAGTTCTACTAGTAGAAGTTGGAGTACTAAATGTTGGTAAAACAGTACTACTGCTAGACGGGCATTCCTGTGAGGAATGCAGCACAGTGTTGGTGCAGGTACTAGTACTAGTACTAGTAGCTACTAGTACTACTAGTAGTAGGTTTAGGTCACACTGGAGTTTAGTAGTGCTACTACAGTACTAGTAGGAGTACAACCACTACAAGGCAGACATACTAGTACTACTAGTAGTACATTGTGTTGCTAGTACTAATGCTATCCCCACTCTTCTAGAATGCAATGGTATATTCTGATTTCAGAATATCAATTCTAACACTCTGGATCCACCCTAAAAGAGAGTTCAATTGTAGATAAAAATTGTAAAATGTACTAGTACTAGTAAAACTACTGGTGGTATTAACAGTAGTATTAAAATATCCATATCAATTCTCTAATGGGAAGCTGCTGTGATAAAAATATTTGATGCAATCAATTTGTTGTCTGAAATCATAAAATAGATTGTGACATCCATTCATTCAATGGACCACAACTAATTCTTTTAGTCAGCAAGAAATCCTCCTTGAATTCAACAACAACTGGACCACTGCTCCTCTCATCTAGTAGTAGGTAAGAAATCATCCAGGACAACTAGTATGCAGAATTTGGAATTGGGAAAATGCGTAGTGGCTTCACCTAGTAGAGATAGTTTTGAGCATTTGTACCAAAGTACTTCTTGCAAGGAGTACAGTACAGTGCCGGAGGCCAGTCATGATGAGGAGTCACCAGGACTGTAGGGGTCTGTAATACAACAGTAGGATTTGAAGAATGGTGTGTTGCAACCATCCATAATGACTTTCTTTATCCTTGCTGACCCTTGAACAATACCATTGCATAATCATTATTCCCTACTAGTGAGGATATGAAAACGTTCATATCTGATACACCTACCTTCTTGCTCTCATATTACCTCAGAGTAAAAAACATCTCTCACATCTGCCTCCAACACACTGTCTAACACCCAGTAATTTTCAACCTCACCTCATAGTAAACATCCATTGGGGAGTGTTGGACAAGATGGGCTGGTCTTTAACGCCTACTCTAAGAAGAAGCAACAACACAAACTGGTGCCTACTTTGCCAGAGACTCCTCTAGCCTCTCCTTATCTTTCTCAAAGGGTGCATGTTGGGGATGGGACATGTACCTAAGGAGCTCTAGATGCATGATTCGTTGGTACTCTGAGGATTAGTAGACACCACAGCTTGCTCTGTTTGTGCCTGTTGCTGCATGATCATCAAAGGGTCCTCTTCTGTAGTATCAATATTACCAGCAGCAGAGGCTGCCACAGAATCATTGCTGTTGCTAGTGGCTTCACCACAAAGATCATACATGGCTTCTTAGACGTTGAAGTGTGCATTGAAGACATGGGAATTTGGATGTCTAGCTCAGTTGAACAACACATGGAGCTAGTTCTTGACAGCATCCTCCAGTGCCTAGCTGGAAGGCATGAAATGCAACCCATTGAAGTGTGAATGGACAGTCAAAGAGTCAGAATTCTTAGGCTACTGGATCACTCCCAAAGGTGTCAAACCCTGGCAGAAGAAAGTTGATGGCATCCTAAAGATGGGAGTCACCACTTATCAAGAACAGATTAGATACCCTGGTGAATTTCAAGGAGTTGACTGCTCCTATTGATACAGATGACATCTTCTTCTTGGAACAGGATATATATGACGAATGCCTTCCCAACACCCTACAAACTGTACACTATCATATCATTGATACATACCTACACACAGTGCATGAGGCGGCATGAGAGTACCAAACATTGATAAAACTACATGAAACATTATTATATCAAAGATATACTAGGATGTCAAGAGAACAGAATCAGAACAAGAACTAATAATCCAAATGTCTCCTTCAACAGCACAAGACATTATGTGAATGGTGTGTTGACACTTTGGATACTGAATGATATTGACAATTCTCTTTCAATGCACTTTAAAATCAATTCTGCATGTATTTTGTGGAGTACTCCTACTCCCATGTACTGAGCTGAATTATTATTTGAAGTATTGTTTTTGTCTGGGCCCTCCGGAACCAACGCGCCCGTCCCCCCTTTTTTAAACATGGGTTCCTGGGTTCCTGCTGGGTTAACCCATGAATAACCCATGAAATAATTCTCAACATAACCCACAAATAACCCACAAATCTGCTGGGCCTAGTAGTAGTATTTTCAAAAATTAAAAACAGTGATTAATCATTAACGTTAATGACTAAAATACTTAACATACTTAGTTTTCAATCAACCCAGATGACTGTAAGAAATTAGAGGGTTATTCCATGGGTTATTTTCCAAATAAAATAACCCACAATTTTAAAACATCATGGGCATGCTGGGTTATTCTTCACCAAAAATAACCCATGTTTTTCTAGGGAAGGAATTCAAAAAGAGGGATGCACACGTGGGTACCGTAGCCAGTACTACTGATTGGATAGTACGGTACGATACCGTACGAGTACAGACGCCAGCATCGCTAACTTTTTGTCCTTTTCATCCTTTACACTTACTAGCGCCACCTGGAAGCAAAGATTTTTTGGTTCGTGGTAAGTACTCTTGTACTGGCACGTACCGTAGTAAGCGTACCCGTATTATTATTAATTAAACCTTCACGCAATCACATTCGTACAGGTATGTACGTCTACTCGTACCTTGTACAGGTACCAGTAGTAGCGAACACAAAAAGTGGGAAGAAAATCAACAGCCATCATACGAGTACACCTGCTCGTATCCCATCACCACACTGTGGTACACGGTTGATCGCACCTGTATGCGTTTTTTGCCTATTACAAGAACTACGGTACTATTGTGTCATCGTTCGCAAGAACAAAAAATCCCCGTTTCCACGAGATCACCACAAAGAACTCAACAGAACAATCCAGTGAGACGAAAAAAGAGAGTGGTGAGTTGTCGTTGTCGTTGTCATTGCAGGCGATTTTAAAATGGCAAGTTTTCCAAGACATGACTGACGGTACACACCTTTTCTAATGATCATTATTTTGATGATTTTTGTTTGGCAGTACTGTATCCTTTGATTGCTAGAACTATCTTTTCACCCTCGAGAAACAGGATGAAGGTCTTCATAGCATTACTCCTTTTCTGCGCAACAGTAACGTCAGCGTCATCTGATGATGATTCCAAGGATTCTAATGGTCCTCCTTTTTTTCTGATTGATAGTACCGACCAGCTCTGTCTGGCCGGCGAAGAATTCAAGAGATGCTCGATCGACACTCTGTTCTTTGTCGTCGGGTCTCCTGGTAAGTATTTTAGTACAGAAACACGGATGCCATGACCATACCAGATKGTGATTTCCGGGATTTTTTGCTAATAGGGTTCTCACCGGATTGGACATTGTCGGTCAATAACGAAACAAACTAAACCAGGCAACTATCAAATTCGAAAACGGTTGGCTGACGGAGAAGAAGACGAGGAGGAGGATGGAACGTGCCTCGCCTTGAAGTCGTGCAAAGAGGTTGATGCGGGAAAAAAGATGGAAGCAAAACTCGCTAAATGTTCTCATTGCGGGGCCAAACGATGGAATATTGTTGGAGATAGCAGTACCGGCTACGTGCTGACTGAAGGAGACGGAAAAACTTGTCTTCTGAGAGAACCCGGAACAGATAAAGCTATGACCGCACCTTGCGATTCTACCGACTCTCCTTATGTCCCTCTCCAGCTTCAATTTGCATCGGCGTCGGACATAAAGACAATGAGTTCGGACGGTGCACGACTAATCGGAGCTGCCAGTGATGGCGACAAAAAGGCAATCGAAGATTTACTTAAAGACGGGACTGATGTGAATGTTCGCGATTGGGATGAATTGACAGCGCTCATTCCAGCTGCATCATCTGGACATCTAGATATTTGCAAACTGTTAGTAAAAGAAGGGATCGATGTCAACGCCAAAGACAAAGATGGCATCACGGCTCTCATGGAAGCCAGGTGAGTAAAGATTTGCTGACGAAACGGAGTTTCATCAATTTCAAGGAAATAACCTTTTCCTAACGAAAGTTGTGCCGTCTCTATTCTATCCATTTTTAGCATCATGGGGCACGAAAAGATCGTAGAATTCCTTATTGAAAATGGAGCCGACGTCAACGCACTTGCCTCATCTGATGTGTCCGCCATGTGGTTAGCAGCTAGTGAAGGTCGAGTAGGAGTGATGAAGCTTTTAATGGAAAACAACGCCGAGCCATCGAACACACGTGTTGATGGAATTTCGGCGCTTATGACTGCTGCAGTGAGTATGAAACGATGAATTCATTCAATATTTATGTATCCCATTGATGCATGGATTTTCATCATTCTCTTCGGTAAACTTTTGTCGGAAGTGAAGTTCAACCTTTGATTTCTCATTTTCTATTCTTGTTCAATAATTTTTTGAAGGTGGGTGGACATTCTGGAGCTGTCGAAATTTTGCTTGAAAATGGAGCCGATCATACAATGACTGACAAAGATGGTCTCATCCCTCTCATGAGTGCAGCAGAAAACGGAACAGTCGCCACCTTGAAGGCCATATTGGATCATGTAGATGACCCTGATTACATCAATCTAATTTCAAATACAGGATTTTCTTCTCTAATTATTGCCGCGGCACACGGTCATGTTGATGCCGTCGAATTTCTCCTCGACAACGGAGCAAAAGCAGACATCGTACACGACAACAAGGTCACAGCACTAATGTACGCAGCTGCAGCTGGTCACCTCGATGTTATGAAAATGTTGATTGGAAAAGGTCAAGCTGATCTTGAATTCAAACATACGAATGGTGGAACAGCGTTGCTTGAAGCGAGCACAGCTGGCATGTATGATGCAATTGTTCTACTTGTTGAAAGTGGTTCGAGTGTCGATTTCATGGATGATGACGGAGTCAATCCTCTCATGGCGATTGCTGCACAGGGAAATGCTAAGTCACAAAAGTTCATCATTGACGAACTTGAGAAGACCAAATCTGATACTGCGTTGAAAGATTACATCAACTTATTCGCGCATTCGGGTGGTTCAGCCTTCATGTTCGCGGCTGCAGGAGGGCATGTAGAGTGTGCGAAACAACTGATGGATCTGGGTGCAGAAATCAATGCAGTAGCACGTAACAAAGACGGATATCTCGAAAAACTCCAGAAAATGATCGAGGAAGGACAGGTGAAAGAGGAGGACCCTCATGTTGATGGGGTGACTGCCCTTCATGTGGCCAGCGAAGGTGCGATAGTAGTCCATGTTGTGCGCGATCTTCAACCGTTTTGGTTTTTGTCTTGTTATCTCACGCTTTTTTTCACTTATCGTTTGTTTCTGCAGGAGGTCATCTCGAAATGGTCAATGTACTATTAGATGCAGGTGTAGAGACATCTTTGGTTCATTTAGATGATGACAACAGATCGCCTCTTGTATTGGCTGTCTCTGGCAATCATGCAGGGGTTGCGAAGGCGCTCGTGCAGGCAGGAGCCGACCCCAATACTCCATACGTCGACGGGGATGGAGAAAATCACAATCTACTTTTCGATGCGATTATGGTTGAGAATGTTGAATTTGCTACTCTTCTCATCGAAAAAGGTGCTGATATCTACCATAGCGACGAGAAAAAAGTGAGCACGTTGCTTCAAGCGAGTCATCGCGGACTCACAAAAGTTGTCAAAGCACTCTTGGAAAAGCATGCTGCAAATGGATCGAAGGGAGAGTACGTGGATGCTGCAAGTGAGGATGGAATAACTCCTTTAACTGCCGCCAGTTCCGAAGGTCATACTGAATGTGTCAAGCTTCTCGTTGAAGCGAAAGCCAATGTCAATGCAAAGGACAAAGACAACACAACGTCGTTAATGGCAGCTTCTGCACGGGGGCATCTCGATGTCGTGTCCATAATTTTGGCTGCGGGAGCGAATGTAAACGAACAAAATGTTGATGGCCACACTGCTCTGATGTTTGCCTATAACGGCAAAAATCAGGTCGAGACTTTGTGGGAACGATATAACCAATTCCTAGAAGAAGCCAAAAGCAATGGTGAGTCAAAAGAAGACGTTGATGATAATGAAACTGGACCCATTATCCAAGAGTCATTGAAGAACCATACTGATCTGGTGGATCTCCTCATCAAGAGTGGAGCCGACGAATCAATCAAAGATAAGGGAGGCCATGTTGCATCAGATTTTGACTTCCACCCTGATACAGATGCTGAGATTCTTGCAAAAGAAGCCAGAACTGAGAAAGTTAAGGATGAAAGCAAGAATGAACTTTAACATCCATTAAGCACTCTCAAGTATTTAGATTGACTATAATGAGAAAAGAATGACCATTACATCTTTAGGTCTGACACTTCGGGTTGAAAAAAACTTGATATTATATTTAGTAACCTCCTGAACTAGAAGAGGCGCTAGGTGGGCCAGAACCAAAACTTGTGGGAAAAGAATGCTTCTAGTCGTCCAGAGGCGGCACCTCCCTCCTAGGAGATGCGATTGAGGTATGGCCGGGAAAGGTCTGACACTGAGGGTATTCTTCACATTCACCATTTTTGCAACTTTGTTCCTCCCCATAATTCTTCACTGTAGTATAATGTGTTAAAATATTTGTAGAGCTTGTCGTCTTTTAGTCCATATCAAATAGGCGGCAAGCAAATGTATGGTTTAGAACACTTTCTTGGGCGTCTTTTTCTACAACAAGATTTTGCTCCCATTATCTTTCTATTAATTTTTTTTCAGCAACAGCAATTTTCTTGTTGTCATGACAAGTGATACAGTAAGAGGGAGGAGGAGGTTGAGTTGAACGGTATTACTTGTTGTGTTGCTAATATTCAGTGAAATTGAAATGAAAAAAAATCTTGAAGTAGATTTTTTCCGATTTTTTTGAGTTTTATTTGACCCATTGCGCGCCCTGTGTACGTGTGTTGCAGCACAAGTACGTATGAGTAACGTAGTTGTGAATCACTTTAGTTTACAAGGCATGATCCTGAAAGTACTGAGCGTACAGTACTACCTCGCACGTACTTTTTCAATTCTACTGCCATCGAGAAATGAACATCGAACCGATGAACGAACTGTTTGCGACCGAAGTTCAAATGATTACACGGATTGATAATGGCATTGACCGAAGAAGTAGCCTTTCTCACCGAAGCGGAAGCGAATCTCAAAGCTGCCGAAGATGCAAAGGTACCTTTGTTCAAGTTTATTCTTACGGGTGGCCCATGCGGTGGGAAGACAACAGCAATCGCTAGGCTCTCATACTTTCTGAAAGAGCGTGGCTTCGAGGTCATCGCTTGTGCTGAGGTCTATACTATATTAGCTAGCAATGGGATGTCTTTCGATTTCTATTCAACTGAAGGGATGGATACCGTTATTCAAAACGCAGTTTTGGACATCCAACTGAGTCTCGAAGATAGTCTTGAACGTGTGTTGAAGGCAAGTACCGCAAAATGGAGATGGCAATATAATTTAAGCCCATGCGTCCTTGACGAGTCCCCACTTATTTTCTAATCTTCGGATCACTTGTTTTCTGTGCAAATCACAGGCCAGGGGAAAGCCTGCAGTACTATTATGCGATCGAGGCCCCATGGATGGTAAAGCTTATTTATCGGACGAAAAATGGAAAAAGATTTTGGATGAAAGAGGTGTTACCGAAGCGGACCTGAGAGATACACGGTAAGTTCAATTGGGATAGCTCTAGCAACTTGACATTGATTGTAGTTGCACCCTGCTCACATTACTTCTTGTTTAGGTACAATGCTGTCTTTCACATGGTGACGGCAGCAGACGGGGCATCATCATTCTACACATTAGAGAACAACCAAGATCGTTCTGAAACACCCGAACAAGCACTTGACCTTGACAGACGCAGCCAGAAATGTTGGCTAGGTCATCCACACATGTAAATATTCCTCAAATGTAGTTTTTTATTTTTTGTTGCATCCTTTTTGAACTTCGCCGAAACTGATCATTCAGAAGCTCACATGCAATTCCAAATTTGAATACACCTTTTTTACCAATAGGTATGTCCTTGATAATTCTACTGACTTTGAATCAAAACTCCAGCGCCTCGTAAACATCGTTTGCCAACTTGTTGGCTTACCTACCAATTTATCGAGGCGATCCACGAAATACCTTCTTCAAAAACGGCCAAATGGAACTTCTTTTCCAAAAGACGTCGACTTCCATCGTTTTGAAGTAGAAAAAGTAAGCACCATCGCGTCCCTCAAGAGCAAAGACAGAGCTTACTATGTATATACTCACATGGAGAACTCACACTAAACTTTCCTTCATAATTACTTTTACGCGAGGTGTATCTCGTGGTCCAAAATGCTGCCGATAGTGGAGCCTATAGTTTTATTAGGAAGAGAACGACAATCGGCGAAGGCGGGAAAAAACAGGGCAGCGTGTATCAATTGACAGATGTCGCAAAGAAGGACGGGCAAGTGTTTGAAACGAAGAGAATTATTTCAGCGAGGGAATACAATGCGTCTTACAAATCTCGTGATCCGTCTCGCCACATCGTCAGACAAGAGCGAATTAGTTTCCTTTACAAAACGCAGTCTTTTACGATTCATAATTACGAACAACCTTCACCAGGGCTATGCATTCTGCATGCACAGGTTGAAAGCAAGGACAACGAGACTCCGATTGTGGATCTGCCAGATTTTCTTGAAATTGACCGACTCCTTGAAAAAAGTGACGAGGACACGTACGGAGCCTACTCTCTTTCCGTTATTCGTGACGAAACAAAATACAACTAACTGATAATGGTTCTAGCTACTGAAAAGAAATTCGCTAAAAGGATTAATACCATAAGCTTTTTTAAGTAATGTAGTAGACGGGATTGATGAAATTGTCCATGCGTGAGTTATACCAACAAAACTTGATATCTAGTCCGAGTTGTAAAACAATAATTGGTGCAGTCAGCCTCCTTCTGAGTATTAAAGTGCATCATTCTCGTGATGTTTAATGTTTAGCCCAAGCCTTGGAAGCGTAGCGCAATCCACAATATTTGCATCTTTCGACAACACCAGGGCGTTCCAGACTAATGTACTCCAAAGGGTGTCCAAGGGCCCCTCCACCACCATCACAGATTGCCATTTCACCCTCAACTTCTATGATAGGAACCTGCTGGACAAGTTCAAGCGCATTGGAACGGTGTTTTCCGAGTTTGTACTCGGATTCGTGATTTGTACGGGTGTGCAACCTCATTTCTTCGGATGTTTTGTCTGCAGTTTTTGGGTCAATATTGTATGGCGTCCTAGGGGGAACCGATGGAGGGGGACCCGTCGCCAAACTACGAAGCGGCATAACGCGGAGCGAAAGAGAAGCAAGTCGAACGTTTACGAGCTTGACTTCTCTGCTGATGGTGCGGCCTAGCATATTGTCTGTCAACTATCTGTCGTTCTTTGATGAAAAGGTAGAGAAGCAATCAAGATGAGCAACTTGGATTTATGTATCGCCGGTACAAGGTCCTACCGGTACAGTACATTCGTTGATGTTATGTTGCCAGTTTTTTGGTCTGATTTTTCAGAAGTTTCGTGCTTGTATCGATTTCATGCAGTAAGCAGTTCAAGTCCTTTTTTTTCGTATGGTAGTACGTACAAACGGTACGACTACGCTGGTGCTGCAGGCGAGTAACGAACAGAATGGTACAAGTACATTTTGATGACATGCATGCTGGGCCCTCCGGAACCCAAGCGCGCATCCCACCTTTGAAATCCAACATTTGGGGGGGCATGATTTTCGTGGGTTATTTTTCAAATGAAATAACCCAAGTTTTCGGGGGTTATTTTTCCCATGGAATAAACCACCATTCTAAAACCCGGATTGTTTTTCACCAAGAATAACCCATGTTTTGAAACGCGGGTTCCTGGTGGGTTAATCCATGAATAACCTACAAAATAACCCACAAGTAATCCATGAGTTTCTGTGAGAACCCATGAATAGTAACCCACAAATCTGCTGGGCCTATTTTTAAAGACCAAAATCAGTGATTAATTAACATTAATGACTAAAATGCTTAAGAACATCCTTGGTTTTCCACTAACCCAAATGAATGTAAATTTATAGTAGGTTATTCATGCTGGTGGGTTATTTGTGGGTTATTCATGCTGGGTTCTTTGATTCTTTTGTGGGTTATTAACCCACCACAATTCTAAAACATGATGGGTTATTTTTACAAAAAATATCTCATGTTTTCCTAGGGGAGGAATTTGCTACTGTTGGCTAATATTGCAAGCTACTGGTTCTGGCCAATCATGCCTCTACAATTAGCTCCTAATACTATGTTTTTTAGGAATCCAAAACATCATTGTCCCTCTTTCTTGCCACTTTTCATACTGCAAAATCTCTTTCTCCCTTTGTCATTCTTGCCACTGCTGAACTCAACTTTTCTTTTCCTTTAGTCAGATGAGCCAAATGACAATAAGAAGTTGTGCCATATATGATGCCAAATATCTCACCATGAGTGAAAGTGAATATGCTGTCTCTCATCAAGTTGTCCCTCTGATTTTACTTCAGTTTGGTATGAAGGGGATCATATTTGTAGCCAGTTTCTTCCTTGAAGCCAAAGAATGAAAACTCTGGTTTTCGTGAGAAGCTTGAATTTTGGTTTAAATCGAAGTTTTACGGCAACGCGGGTTGGATGTGTAATGTGAGATGGTCGCGTTGTGGGAATAAGGGAGATATGGTTAGTACGCGCATAAGTGTGCGCATGGGATCTGTTTTTAACTCGTTGTGGGAGTCAAAAAAATGGAAGCGGGTTTGTTGTCGCCAAATAAGTTTCTTTGATTGAAAATTTCAAAAGATTTTGAAAGTTTTGAGTTGCGAAACAGCGGTATTTGGGCGGCGACAATGACGATCCTTTCAAAGTTGTCGTTGAGTAACGATTCATTGTCGTAACTGCGTGATGATAAGTTCAAAGACGATGGCGGTGACAATGCATATGGGTTATCAAAGATGATGGCAGTGACAATGCATATGCGTTGTCGATGTGTTGTTCAAAGGGGTGTGTTGACGCGGTGTTGGTAGAGTCGTGTAGTGAGGAGAGATCACGCCTAAAAATTATCACCATGGTGGTGATGAATTTTATTGGAAGGGTGTCATAACCTGTGGGAGTGACTGTCCAAAAAGTGATGTAAAGTGTGTGCTAGAAGAAAAGTGAGTTGATGTTCTTATTGAGGATCGACAAACTATGAAATCTAGAATCGATCACTGTGAGGATCGAGTGATGTGTGAATCAAATGAGTCGAGTCACTCACGCAAGTGAATGAAATGAGTCATATCAATCATATGAATCCAGTGGGATTGAGTGAATCATATATGTATGGTGTGTATGAAACATAGATACGTATTATATGTATGTGTTGTAGATATGAGTCACACACACGGTCTGATATCCTACAGACAGCAATCTGCAAGTCTCCATGATCTGTAGTACAATAGATGTAGTATTGAGGCTTTGCCTCATAACCAAAATGCACCCCTGATACTTATATGAGTGCACCTCATTCAAACCCCACTTTCTGTAGGATTTGAGTGCAAGTCACAAATGAACAGCAAAAGACCCCCAAGCAATCCTCTCCTGCTGGTGCTCTAGGATATAGTAAATTTTGCAGGCTTTGTCTCCTTCTTGGTTCCAAATTCTTTCTGTTACTTGCCACACAAACCAGATTGCTGGGCATTATTTGCATTTTGCGCAGTTGTAACCCTCAAATTTTCTGGTCCTTTGCCATTTTGATGGACACTCCATATTTGTATTTTTCCAGCAATCACCCTTGTATTGCTTCAGGGGAAGATTCATCCACAACAAATAATATGCTACAACTTAATAGGCGTGTACCAAAGTAAAACTCTAAGTGTTTCAAATTTCCTAGTAATCTATCTAATTCTTTGTTAATGAGTCAAGTGGTCAATATACCATATGCACACAATCAAGTAATCTGTTTTTGCAATCCAATTACCTTTCTGTGTGGTCCATAGTAAGAAGGTATTGTATAGCCCTTTTGATGACTTGGTCCTCGTCACCTGGAGCACTATCTGTATGCTGAGTGGTACTTGCAGAATAAAAATCTCTTTTTTGCTTCTTGGATAAACGCCTTTAGGATTCCATAAACTCCTCCCAAATCATTGTTTCATTCTGTCTTTTTGGCTTGGAATTCATGTTGTGATTTTTCCTTGCCAGCCTTTTTGTTCTGGAATAAGGAGCATATTCCTCCTCCCAATACCAGGGACTGTGTCTTTCAAATTTGTTCATGTGTAGGCACTCTTTTCCTGTCATGACTCTTCACAAACAAAAATCAGTCAACACCTTACCTCAGCAAGGGTGGGGTGGCAACCAGACCATCCCAAATGGGTAGATTGTTTAATCAACTTCCTAACCAAAGGAGACAGTGAGTTCCATTTCTTCCTTGGATATATGCAATCTGTTGTGTCCAACTTTGTCTGACATCTGTGCTTGATCTTGGGCCTATACCAACATTGTTGTAAAACTCATTGTTTTCTGAAGTGGTCAACAATGGATAACCACACAATAGGTAGCAACTTATTATGCCCAAGGCCTAGACATAAACGTCTTCTCCTGTGTGGCCATTGATGTTTATGGAGTCTGTCACATATTCCACTGCCTTTTGCCATGCCAGATTGGCCTCGACTCTACTTTGTCAAAATGTCCCATCTTGCTGTTCAGTTGCATCCTTACCATCTCTGTGAGGTTAGACCTGTCCAATATTTCTAGAACTTTGCCACTGTGTTTCCAACACTGTGTATCATTGCTCATCATTTCAAAATGGTAAGAGTATGGATCAAAGCCAGTCATTTCTGAGATGTAGAAGCTGTTGCTGGTATCTGACCTTCTCTTGTGTGCACTCTGTTCTTGCAGCTTCCCTTCCAACCTTCTCTTCTTTGAACAATCAATCCTACTAGTAGTGCACAGCAATGAAATATTATGTGAATTGGGTTTAGCAGAATTGTTTTGGTGTATATAGATTGTTTGTCATCAAAATAATGTTGGCAACAGCACGAGGGAATAGGATTAATTTGTTTGAATACTTTGAGCATTGATCAGGAATGTATTGGTATGATGTTATTCTTGATGCTGCGAGCAGAAAAACTGATGAGGATGAAAAACTGTAAGAACCCCAGAATAGAGCATGAAATTGGTACTGAGAAATGAGTGGTGTGAGAACATGTTCCAGGGAAAGGGGCCCTGAATTTTGCATGAAAGCATTGAAAAATGCGAGATTTTGTTTTTGTCCATGCGCACTATCAAATCAGTTTGTGTGACGCTAGTAACCAAAATGCACCCCTGACACTTCTATAAGTGCACCTCATTCAAGCCCCACTATCCATACCATTTGAGCCCAAATGATGTCACAAATAAGCAGCAAAAGAACCCCCAAGCAACCCTCTCCTGCTTGGTGTGCTGCTCTAGTACTGCTAGCAGTACTAGTTTGACGAGAGGGAATCGATTCTGGAGAGGGTCAATATTTAATGAGGCTATAAAAAATATAATGAAAGTTGTTTTGCCAGCATCAATTCAATTCAGATTCAATCATGATAAAAAAGAATTTTCTAGGAGGAATATTTTATGTCAGTCAATTGATCTTGAATTATTCCCTGTCATTTTTAGTTCCACATGTTACTGTAATGGACCTCTTATTTACAGTATTCACTTGATGGGATGATGGAAAATGGGACACATGTCCTTCTTTGTAGAGCATTCAATAGTGAAGTACAACGGCCAAAGTCTCCAATCCATTGGAACAAGTCAGTTCTCGAAATAAATTGAGTTGGACTGAGTGCTGCATATTCCGTTCTGAACATTCTGATCGATTGGTGTTGGACGAGTACGGTGCATATTGGTGGTATGATTAACAACTGAGTAATTTCTAGATCATTTTTAGTATTGGCTTGGGCTTGAAATTCCAATGCTTCATCTTCCCGGTGCAGTTACAGCTCCTTGCTTTGCTGCATAATACTTTTTCCGTATTGGCTTTACCAAGACCTCTAGCGGCTCTATTTCTCTTTCTGGCAAGAGACCAAACTCCGTACAAAAGTACATGAAATGCTTGAAGCATGAGTTTAGGTGGGGCGCCATATCTAATGCCTCCAATGTACCAAAGAAACTAGAGTATATAATGCCGTACACTCGAAACAATCGTCGAAAAATTTGACCGCAAAGTGCTGCGAACTGCGGCGTCTGGAATACCCTTAAGGCTTCCGTTTCGTCGTCATCGTCTGGGAATTTAGTTTCGTCATTGATTTGATCCGCAATCCAACCCAAAACTTTTTCGATATAAACAGGTGCAGATACTGACATGGCTTCTCCCGAATTGCCATCTGACCATCGATACTCGACACCGGAAGGGAAACCTTCTCCTGGCCGAAACGAGTTTAGGTAGGGATCAGAAGACATGACTGCCCATATCGTGCTAACATCGTTGTAGAAGTCGATGGCATGCACCGCAACCCATGCTGCACAGGACTCTCCTTGCGGCAATGCAACCTTGCACCAGTGTTGATGAAGTCATTTGAAGAAAAATGAATGGGAAGCGTGAGATTATAAATTGAGAACGGAAACAAGAGAATTTCGGACGAAGATGCTACAATGAGAACAATAACCCGCGATGGACAACTTGTCTCTTTCTGTCACGCACCGCATCGTTGTAGCTTCCCCCAGCACCAAGGGTCCTTTTAGTATATGAGTGAAGTCTCTCTCGCATCGTTCCACTCCTGTGACGGAGTGGTTGGAAAGTACCCGTGGATGCAGGTGCCATAGTATTTTGTATTTTCTTATTGTAGATTGGCTGTAACAAATACCCCTTCTGATGCCAGGTTTTACGGCTTGAACAGCAAGTAGCGCTCCTTGAAAGTATTGACGACTTTCGTGGATTTTGTTGTTTATGGTAATGGGATAGTCAGAAGTAGGCGGAGTTCTCTTGATCTCGCAACTCGTATTCTCAATCCGCGAGAAAGACCCTGCAGAAGTACTGTAGTACTTCTATGAATAAATATTAAAAGTGCTGTCTGTAATCTGTAAGAAGTAGAAGCGGGTTTTTGAAGAGGCAATTTTTCGAAAAATAAGTTGCGACAGTACCGGTTCTACCAGTACTACGAAGTACTACTTGTACTGTACAGTGATGTAATGCTATTCGTAACGTACTCGTACGGGTTACGTACTTGTACCTAACGGATACGTACGTACGGCACTAGTAGTTGTAACTACGAGTACTTCTAGTATCCTACCATTGCATCATCTACCTGAACGCGAACGCTATTGCGACGTCGATTGACTCCAAGTCAGTGTTCCGTTGCCTCAAAAATAACTCTTCTTAACGGTTGGAAAAGTTACTTACAGGACTACTAGTATCATGTATGCTCGAGGGAAAATAATTTAGACCCTTGGTATCGTACGATATCTCCTATGCGCTACAGTACATAGCACTGTTTCTTTTTTTTGTGAGAAAAACAGACCGATAGCGCACTTTGGTACGGAGTACGATACGTACGTACGGAATTGATTTCCTGGCGTTACGCTGCTGCCTACCGGTAGGTCATAACAAAAAAATGATGATGACCTTCAGCTAAATACTGTACAGTACTGTATCGTACATATTGTCGCTACGTACACACTACGAACGCACTCGTACTTCGTAAACAGTTACGACGCTTGTAAAAAAGATATCGTACATTACTACCGTAGAAGAGTACAGTCGAAGATGTTGGATGTTGTTTCCTATGGTACTTTACGTATGTATTATGCATACTATCTTGGTACAAGTTTGGGTCCCGGGTCCCGGCAATGGCCCATTTTTTTCTTCGTCGCAGTTCTTCGTTGATCATCATCCCTCTGGAAAGTCGTTCTACCGGTACTCGTACGTATGCTTGCTACGCACCTGGTAGGCATCCCATGATGCTCGTGTAGCGCCTCTTACATCCAGCTTTTCGAATGCTAGTCACATCGGCTTTTCTCACAAAAAGAATCTTCTTCACTTTGCAACACAAACAAATAGAAATCTAAATAGTTTACCATGTCGCTCTTCAAGGTATGCGGTTGAATAATCACTGAGGGACTCTAGATGTGTTTAAAAGTCGTGGGCTCTAACCTCAGTCTGTAACCATGTTTCTTCCCTTCCGTTCGGACAATGTACAGAAACTTAAAAATGATAGTAAAACGCAAGCCATGGAGCTTCTAGACTCCGGTATGGCAAGTGTCGAAGAAATGCAAAATCTCTATTCTCAACTTTTTCCTCTCGACAAGCTGTCGGAAGCATCTAATGCTTTCGTTGGATCCGCAACCACTGCATCAAATGAAGTGGTTGCTCGAGCGGTCGCAACCACGCTTGACCAAATCTCAGCACAAAACACCTTGCTCGCAAAGCTCGATCTCTTCATCACTTTGCACATTCCGAAGATTGAGGATGGCGGTAACTTTGGCGTAGGGTAAGTGTTGTCCAAAATATTCGTTGCATAGTAATTCGATCAACTCAGTTGCTAACTCTTTTCTCTTCGCCTTTTTCCTGAATTTGTTGCGATTATGAATAATGAAACACAATTCAAACATCAAAACATCAGAGTGCAGCTCGATCTTGTGAAGAAGTTGTCCGAGATGAAAGAAGCAGCAAACAAATCAATTGAAACGTTGTTGGCATACGATAACGCACGTGCGGACGCTCTTGGTAAGCTTAATCTACCGTCCTCAACAACTAGTTCCACGAAATCAAGCAGCGCCACGACAACTGATGGGAAAAAGGAAGAAAAATCGAGCGAGTCAACGGAAGAAAAACAAACCAGTTCTGCCAGTTCCGGTCCTGTTTATGAATCTAGGGTTGCCTCCGTTGTTGCCGTCGACACGCTTTATTACTCGAAGGCACGCGTGATTTTTAGTCAAACTATCATCACTTTCGTCGCCGTAATGGATTTCATTGAAAAGAACAAGGACAAATTGGTTGAACCCAAGGGGAAAAGTGGAGGCTCAAACTTCTCGATGTATTAGGTCCAGTGCTTGCGCGAAACGATGTGTAGAGAGTTTTTTTATTGTTTGATTTCTGTTGACAATAGAGTCATGAAAAAACGACCAACCGCAACTCTTCATATACTACGGTAAAATGATCGCAGACAAATTTTCCAGCCCACGATCCAACTACTCTAGAGTAATGTACATATGCACATCTAGTATTTTAGAACTGGAGAGGAAGCAATGCTATGTCGTTGCCCAGAAATAAATGTCGCATTTGGGATACATCTTTAGGTTAGTCGGGAAGGATTTCCGACGCAAGATGAATGATATTTGTAGAGAATATGGTGTTAACGATGGAACTCTTCGTGAAGCGACAAACTTAGGACTTGATATTCAACATAATTTCTATCCAAAATTTAGTCGCGTTCAAAACTCACCCCCTTGTAATAATTATCAGGGAGGCAATTTGTCAAACAAAAGATGACTATTTTCTAGCCAATGGAGTCACCGTGTTGAATACTTGCTTATAATTCTTTTGGCAATGTACCGGTAGATAATCTTGAATTCTTATCGATTCATCTTTCGAAGTCGAAAAGAAAGAAATGCAATTACTGTTATGGTTGCTGCACTACATGGAAAAAAGGCATGGAGATTTTTGGGGATTTGTAAACTGTTGAAATTTGATCCTCAAAGACGCTATCTTCGGGAATTACATCTTCGATTCTCTTACTTGATGAGTTGAAAAATGATCCGATGATGTAAGCGAAGATGAATACGATACCCAGAGAGATCGAAGCAGAATAGATACGCATCTTTCTTCGTTGTTTCTTTTCCAACTCGACCACGAGAGATTCCATTTCCGAGTGTGATCTGTCAAAGGACTCAATGGAAAGCCAACAAAGCTGCTGTGCGTCACATGTACTTCTCTCCGTTGATGTGCAATCATCTATTGTAAAAGAAGCGTATCGTTAGGAAATGAAGTCAACCGGATGATATCGTTGCGAATACTCTGCAAAGAAGCGAAGTGCTACTTGCGGAGGAAATAAATTTTCATCCTAACAACATACCTTGGCTCGGAGCGTCTCGTTCCACCACTGAGTTCGCAGTGGAAGTATCTCCAGCGATTGGCATGCAGTCGTACCTGTTTCCACATCCGATCTCTAGATTTGAGATCTTGTCGTTTTCTCGTCTGCTACTAGTACTAGTAGCAGCGTTGTCTGGTAGAGACCACTGCCCCTCACTCAGGACCTCAATAATCGATCTAGATTCTGCTGATGAAAAGATATCCATTTTTTGCATTTCATTGGGATTGAAAATTGTACAAATGTGGAATTATGGGTGAAGGTTTCAATTTACAGCAACTGCACCATATTGCGGGTATTCAGTGTTCGTTTATTTGCATTCAAGATGCCGCGAAGCTACCTTTGATAAAATCATGTTCAACAACCGAGACAAGATAATATTCACACTCCTCTAGCAGAAGTAGTAAGTAACAACACTGAGGGTACGGTATTACGGTCTTCCTGTTCTGTATCGTTGCTATTTCTTCATAAATACTAGTCGTATCAAGTACTACTGTACAAATCATAATTACTATTATTGTGGACCATTGTTGTTCTACTACTAGTAGTACTACTACTAATAAACGAACAAAGAAAAACGCGATCGGTCTTTTCGATACAGTAATATACGTACGGTAGTATTCTCCTGTGAAGCCAACTGGACGCGACGAGTATTTAACGTTCGGCAGTACGGTACTGTACTTCCTATTACGTAACCGTTGAGCAGCTCAACATTTCCATGTACTCAGCGCGCGTGGTATTTTTTAGGTACATGATTTTGTTGAGCAGATCGCGCGTACAAACACTAGTTATTTTTTGCCTAAGTACATGCACCTCAACTGGTTACAAAACCGCGCGGACTGAATTTTGTAACCAGAATTTTGTAACCAAACCCTTCCTTAAGGAGAGCCCATATTTTTACACGATACTACTGCTTGTCTGGTTACAAAAAAAAGKGTCTGGTTACAAAAACAGGCGCACTGGTTCCCTTGTGCGCGCTTGTAACCAGGCAAACGCACCTCAACAGGTACAAACTAAAAACTGTCTTCACTACTGTAAATACATAGTATCAGTAATTGTACGCAGTATCTTGTACGAGGAGTACGAGTACTAAAACAATGTGAGCAGTACTCAAAAACTCATCTTGATTGCTATTCCAGTACAAACTCATGTAGAAAACACCGTAGAAATATTGATTTGCAGGGGGAAACAAGCAAAAAAACAAGCAAAACACCAGCAGGAGAACGCCGTATCGTACGGTATCAGCGTCCTCTGTATCAGCAACTCATATCAGTGTCCTCCGTATCGTATCAGCGGCTCCTCCGCCGTATCGTATCAGCGACTCGTCCTGCTGCGTATCAGCATCCTGCGTATCAGCATCCTCCGTATCGTATCAGTGTCCTCCGTATCGTATCAGTGTCCTCCGTATCAGCGTCCTCCGTATCAACGAGCGTCCGTATCAGCAAGCGTCCTATGTATCAGCATCCTCCGCATTCCGTATCAGCGATTTGCTGAGTAGTTTGGTGTTGTTTGCTGCCGCTGCCTTCGGCCGCAGCAGCGCTGAGTACATGGAAATGTTGAGCTGCTTCAACGGTTACGTAAATAACTGTGGAAGAGCTCTGTGTCAGCCCAACAAGTACTTTCTTCAGCAACATCACCAACAAGCTTGAGAGCTAAAGCTCTCAAGCTTGTTGGTGGTGTTGCTGAAGAAAGTACTTGCAGTAACCTCACTTCGATCTCGAGCTAAAGCTCTCGATCTCAGTGATGTTACTGGTGTACCCAAAACGTACCAGAAAATGTACTCTGTTGAGGTCCGTGTTATTTGTGTGGGAAGAGTTTTTGTACCTGGGTTCTCAAGCTTTAAGCTCTCGAACCCAGGTGCAAAAACTCTTCCCACACAAACAACACGGACCTCAACAGAGTACATTTTCTGGTACGTTTTGGGCACACGCGCTGCGCGAGCTCCTCCACAGTTATATTACATACTTGTACAGATGTTCGGGGATCTAATTTGGTTTTCAGCGTTAATTTAGAGTTAGGGACTTTTTTAGGACTCGAGCAATATGATTGGCTGATTAGACGGATCAAAATTATCTAAAATGGTACAGTATGAGTTTTACCCACTTGAAACCAATTTTTACCCTCTTTAAATCTAATTTTCTCATAGAATGGTAGACTGTACCATTTTAAATAATTTTGATATGTTTAATTGGCCAGCTTTTTGATTCATAGAATATTGGTAAAATAAGATCTCATTCATAGTAGTAGTAGAATGGTAGACTGCTGTACCATTTTAAATAATTTTTATATGTTTAATCAGCCAATCAGGCAGATTGCTTGTTGATTGTTCATAAAATATTAGTAAAATAAGATCTCATTTTTGGGCAGGAACACCTGTGCTGTAGTACCACTTGAGTCGTATCAGCACCTCCACTGTGGTGGCAAGGGTATATATTCTGGTTAGCCAAATACTACTTTGAATTCACACCAGTAGTAGAATGCAACCAGTTTTGCAACTCCTCTCCTCTCTTTGCTATTGATTCCCACTAGCAAACTATCAAAAAATCACACTCTGTGCTATTCTTTGTTCACAAAATAAGCAGTATCATTGCATACAAAATCAGCAGTTACAGTACTATTAATTACCAAATCAATGACTGAATCAAGAAGCAGTAAAACACCACCACCAAGTAAAAGAAGCAGCAATATGGAGGGAGCTGCAAGAGCTTGTCATCAGCTACATTCAAGGAAGAGATGCAGCTGTCCAATGATGCCTCCTTGTGATGTGAACAAGCCAGGGCAATGGAAGCAATATCATTCAATTCTTCTTGCTGAACTGATGGACCTTGCTAATACAGACAAGAAAGTAAACATAAGAAAGAAGAGGTACTCGACATTCATGAAGAAGTATGCCTTCAAGAATGAAGCTTACATGAACAAAAGATCAGATTTAGAATGGAAGCTTGGAACTCACTTCATTCACAAGTTTGCCACAACATATGCTTGTCAGTGTGGAGGGGCAAGGGATGATGTTGATTATAGAGTATTTTGGAAGTCTGAAGGCCAACAGGATAGGAACACTGATACTCAGCTGATGTGACCTGATATCATTTTAGCAAGCAAGCTCTGCTTTGGATGAATCTGTTATTACTGCAAGTAAAGGCAAGGAACTGGAGTGGCAGGGGAGTGGATTCTTGCTTCAGTCACCCCTGGAATTGCAAATGCATTTGGGAATCAAGTTGCTGCAATCCTTGGTAAGGCTCTGTTGTGGACTTCTTGCTTTGAGCCAGTAATGTTTTCTGGGTTGCTTCTTTGGATGATATCACATGGGATGTTGTTGCTGCTTATCTTGAGCTGCACAACTTCAGGCTCCAATACAACTAGTACTGTCAATCCTGTTGAAAAGAGTTGAGATAATTGCCAATGCGTCTCAAGACAAGTTCACTTTGATAAATTTGTAGATCCATCTGGTGCTGATGGCAGAGAATGAGGAGGAGGCCCTGGCATTAGAAGAACCCAGTTGCAATGGAATCACATTATGTTCTCCAAGCTGTTTGCTACAGCAAATGAAATTAATGATAGCAATAATCAGCAGATTGCAAGTGAAGCAAAGTTCAATCAAAAGCTGAACCAGGTGATTTCCATGTCTAAACAGCAGCAATGGCCCCTGTCATTTGTCATTGGCTAGCAGCATGGGCAGCACCAGTTGCAAATGGTAGTGGTGGTGGTGGTGGTGGTGGTGCTGCTGCTGCTGCTGCTGCTGCTGCTGCTGTTGCAGCTGATTTGGGTCCAGCTGAACTTTGCAAGTGTCACCAGGACCTTCATATTCTGTACTGCTAGTAGTAGTAGTATGAATGGAAAGTTGGTGTTAAAATTTTTAAGTCTGTTAAGGATTTTACGCTTGCTGAGTATGGTAGGGTGTAGAGCAAGCTCTGTGGGAGGAAGAAGTTCAGGGAGTGCATGGAAAGACTCATTATCAGTGGTACTACTCCAGAAGTAGCAGTTGAAAGGATCTACAAGGAGGAGGTCTAGTACAGGGAAACAAATGTGTGTCCTTCATCCTCAAAGCAATGGCTTCACACAAGACTCGCAGAGGTCATATATTGCTCTGAGGTCCCCCATGATTTGTCATTGATGTATTTGTCCTTTGTTGTGTGGTCTTTGTTTGTCATTTTAACAACTTGTACCCCTAATACAATAACAAAACATGAAATAGTGATACAGTGATACAGTGCTGTATCATAGAATAGTAACTGTGGCGATTCAAAAATAGCTGATTGAACTGTACATTTTTAATAAATATCATTGAGAAAAAAGTTCAGAAAGTAAATACTCTGGTCGGTACATTACGTACTCTACTACCACTCTCTTTTAGGCACTTGCAACTAAGCACATCTGTTCTTCAAAACGGACAAAAAGGGGATTTTGTTTGAGTTTTGGCGTTTTCTTAAGAGTTTGGGATAAAAAGATGATAATCAAGCAATCTGATTGACTAATAGCAGGTATTCCGAGTGAAGATAGAACAAATTTTCTGTTTTGACTAGTTTTATTCAAACATATGATTTCATTAGTGGGTGAGGACAGACTGACTATGTACCTAGCCTCAATACGTTGAATGGCTCCATTTTAGTGGTTATCCTGAACTCTAAGAAAACGCCAAATCTCAAACAAAATCCCCTGGCGAATTGCGAACAGATGTGTAAGGTGTAAGGTCTACATACTACGACATACCTTTACTGGTACCGGTACATCCATTCCGGTACCGTCGGAATCTTTTTGTAGCACCGAAGTTTCATGCTGAATGAAGTACAACAGAAGTACGAGTATCACTGGCAAATCGTCCCCCTTGAATTAGATTGAACCAGGATCTCACAGTAAGAGAGTTGCAACTGTCAATCCAGGCGTTGGTTGTAGCTCAGGAAGATAGTTGGGTTCAGCTGGCGAAAAATGAGTTCGAAAGGTTACAGCGAGTGGGAAAGCGAAGAGGATGAGGACGAGGAGGACTTCGTTCCTGACGCATACGAGGAGGAGGGAGACGATTGCGTCGAATTTAGCGACGACGAAGACGACCCCGAAGATTTTCCACCTATCTTGCAAGGGGAGATGTTCATCGACGAAAATAAAGGACTTTGCTACGAACAAGATGGAATATTTTGTTTGGTATGTAAAAGTTCTATTCCTACCGAATCTTTCAGTTTCGCAACACCCGTAATGAACACCCCTTTGGTGTTTGCTGGTTGGATTAAAAACCCAGGCAGCTGGATGGAATTCGAGGTTCATTTTTCGAAAGAACCTATGTCAAAGGATCCTTTAGAAATAAAGCTCTTAGAAGAACAGGAGGAACAAAATTTAAGGAGTAGATCGGAAATCTCGAAGAAGAATTATATTGACGACGCAAAGAACAAGACGAGTCCTGGAAAGTGTGATCTAAAAGCTCCACCATCATATTCGTTGGAAAATAACTCCGGAAATATAAAATACGCTGCAGAAGATCGCAACGGAAAGCAAACTTCGTCGACTTTAAAATCTGGTGATTCCGCAGAAGCCAACGAGCAAAAAATGATGCACGTAAAAGATCCTCAAGACAATATGGTTTTCGTGGTATCAGGGTCCCGGATTACTGGCAATGCCAATGATGATCGCAATATTTCTTTCCGCGGCTCATACCGTTTTCCATTGCAAACCTCACTTAAAAACATCCATCTAATATGTTCCATCCAGACTATTGACAGTGGAATGGTTGTGTCTGGAGCAACCGCTTCAACGGCCGCTGCTGGTAAAAAACGGAATCGACCTACCAGAGATGATGATTCTGTCGAAGAGAGCACGGGTGAAGTGTATCAAGAGCTGATTGATCTTCACGATGATACACGTTTATCGACAGAGGAATTGAGGAAAAAGTATTACGGGACCGGGGATATGAAGGGAAATAGTGGTCAAGGGCCTAGAGTTAGTACTGCGAAGCGTTTCAAAGAAACTGACTATGAGGGCGAAGATGATGACGCTTACGGATTTTGAATACGATGTCTTCCTTGAATGGAAGTCACTGGGTATATGAGGAATTAGTAATGGGTGTTAGTTGATGCTTAGTTCCTTGTGCTCCCAAGTCATCCTGAAGAAACATTATGAAGACTTGTGAAAACTAAAATATTCGCATAGTATATGGTTTCCTGTACCTCATAGTGACAAATCACAACACTGTTGCATTTGAAAATTACAATCATTTATCCTTGGCAATGAAAGGCGGAGACATAAGACTCGGCATGTGACATAAGACTCGGCATGTGACCAATGGTGATATAGCCAAATGAGGCATCTCAAAACACTGTTGCAGTCGTTCAGAGTGCCAATCCAGCTGAAGAAGCAACTTTTAGAGACATCATTGTCAAGCACAAAGTGAGTGCTGTCAAAATAAATCTACTCTATAATATGAATGGATATCCTTTTCATTTGATTAATATTCCAAGCTAATGTCCAAACAACCAAGCCAAATTCAATATTGTATAGAGTTGGCGGAGATTTTTGGGCCGTGTCATTCATACATTAGGAGTGCTCAATTAAAAAAAAACTTAATATTATATTTGACCTTGTTAACTAGAAGAGGCACTATATGGCCAGAACCGTAGCTTTGGGTGTAAAGTATGCTTCAAGCTGCTCCAAGGTGCGGCACTTCCTCCAAGGAGTTTTGGTGGAAGTGCGCCCAGGGGTTGGTTTTGCTGGGTTTAGAAAATTGATTTAACTTGGTTTGGAGTAAACGGGAAGGAGTGACAAGAGGAGCCAAAGAAGTATCTGGTACGGCAGGTTGTTTGTGACGTTTCTTTTTGGAGTAGGTGTCAAAGACCAGGGAATCTTGTGTGACACTCTCCGGTGGTTGTTTACTATGGGGCAATGGTGAACACAATTCTAGTCATATGGGGGAGTTGGGGGGTCCTAGTGGTATTTATCAATATACATTTTTATGTATATTGATAAATACCACTAGGACCCCCCAACTCCCCCATATGACTAGAATTCTGTTTAAACTGGGATTTGATTCATGTGCTTACCATACTAAAGCTTCTGTTTGCAATGGATACGTACGTACTAGAAAGGATACGTACGTATTGGAAAGAAAGTATACGTACGATACGAAGCTTAATAGAATGAAGGAGCATACCATTCCTACGTACCTATCGTAAGGTATTGTTGATATGTATAGATCATACGATCCATCATGTTGATGATCGTAAGAGGTCTAAGATATTATTCGAGAATACCTCACGAAGAATAGAGATGTCACGAGTCCGGAATAGAGAACCTCCGTGTAGATTCCCTACTAGGTCTACGTGAGGTTCCAATCGGAACTTCGGAATTCTCGTGAACGCGCTTGGTAATCTTCCAATAATTCTAATCTTATAATTTTAATTTTCATACACACTTAACATACTAAGAGTACACGTAATCTCGTGCACAGTAATTACTGAGTGATTTTCGTGTATCGAAATTTAATCAACCCTTAAGAAAAACAACCAAAAATAACACATCGACCATGGTGAAATCAACCAACTCCACTCAGCGGACTCGGTCGTGCCTCACCCTTGATAATAGATTCAAAGAGAATGAGATCAAAGAGATCAACCTCTTTGTGGATCACCCCTCAAGGACACAGATTACTGGCAGAGGACCTAACCGAAGAACTCACCAAATCCCCGCAGTAAGACTAAAAAGAAGCTGCCCAGTCTTCACCGGGAAGTATGGAGTGCAAGAGTTATTCTATGTACAAGAGGGATTTGAAGATGCTTTACAGGACTTGGAATTAGCCGATGCTGCAGATGGGCAAATAAACAAGAAATGGATACAGGTACTGGCTCATCGACMAAGACAAAATTGGAACAACATGTGGGAAGGTCCCGACGGATTGAGAATTGGAAAAGACACCAAAGAACAGTGGAAACAAGCCCTTGTCTCATATAGAAAATTTTATGCACCATCAAAGAGATCAAGAGATGAGGTGATTGCGTACTTGGAATCAGATGCCGTAAAGAAACCACATGATGTCACATGTCAGGAACATGCTGA